AAATATTCAAATCAACTTAATGAAATAAAACTTCGTTTACAACGTGATATGTATGGTAATGATTGTCATGCACCACGTGATAATTCTTCTTCAACAACACCATATCGTTCAACAATAATAACAAGTGCTTCACTTTCTGCTATATCTCATCATCAAAATCCACCAACTTCATCAGATTACTTACCATTAACATCATCAGTATCTTCAACAAATTTTACGGAAACAGATTTATCATCTAAACGACCAATAGTTGATAACAACTATACCACGATAACTGATCAATTAGATGATGAAGATTTGATAGACGATTTAAATGACACAACTGAAACAACACGTTTATAATAATTACTTTGTGTTTTTTGATGACCTGTATGTTTGTGATTGTTTTTTTCCCTTGAAATTTAATTTTTTTTATATTCCGTTTAATAATTGAACTTGAACGTTCGTTTTTTTTTAGTGATTTTTGCCTTGAAATTTTCTTTCAGCTTCTTTTGGGATGAGTTTTTTTTGTAGAGAAAAATAACAGTGATTTGTCTTTCGATTATTCGCCTTGGAATATGTATGTGTGTAAATATACATTCAATAATAAATTCATATTCACTTTGTTTTCCAAAAATTTCCTATTGAATTCTTATTTTTTTCTTGTTGCTTCGATTCGATATAATTTTTTGTGGAATTATTAGATACGAATCAAGGCAGTTTGCTCCTTCAGGGGAAATCATGACCATAAATTCTGAATGCAATTTTTTTCTAGTTGGCATATCTCTCAAAACCCCTTACAAACTATATTTTTCTTTGAGAAATAAGGGAAACGCAATGACTTAAAGATCATCAGGCGTGTTTGATACGATCATACGTGAGTTTCAAATATTTAACCCCAACGAGGCTGTACTGACAAGTTTTTTTATTGAAGACTAAAACAAAATAGTAGCATATACTAAGATCTTCATGTTTTTTTCATCAAACTACAATTAATCTGCCATGAAAAGCATTTACACGTCAGAAAAAAAGAAAAGAAATGCATTTTAAAATTAAAAAAAATAGGTATAATTTATTTATAGAATCATTTGGTATTGCTGTCTCGTTAATTTTATTGTATATCTATGTATATATATTAAAAATAAATCAAACGCTTATTACCATACGCGCATACACACAAACATAAATAATTTTTTTGATCATTTTTTACTATAAAAATCACTGTTCACAAAATAAAAAAGAAAATAAAAGGAAGAATCTATTCATTTATTTTTTTCCACCTTTTAAAGCTGTATTTTCATCACGAATTTTCTTATATTCACCAATTAATGTTTCTAAATTCGTCGTCATATTTTTTTGTGATTCAACTTCAATCTAAAATTATAAGAAAAAAATGATTATATTAAAAAGACAAAAATATCCTAATAAAATTTTACTTGATCTTCTAATTCACGAACTTCACGTATAATAACACCAATATCTTCAACAATTTTATAAATAGAATCACAATCCGAATGAAATGAAACTAACATTTTATATGAACGTCGTGCACATTCATCTGTTTTAGCATCCTAGAAAAAGAAAATCATTGATATTTTATTAATTGAAAGAGACTTTTTTACTTTAAATAATTGACTATCGGTAACTTGAAATGTTCGTTCAAGTTTTTCTGTTAATCGATTTAAATCTTTTTGTAAAATACGTGTTTCAATAATTGTTTTATTGATTTCTTCTTTTTGTTTATTTGTATTTGTAACTATTTCAAGTATTTGTTTTGTAAAAAATGATCTTGAATGATCATTTTTTGATATAGATGATTTATGTTTTTCATATTCATTTTGAAGATGAGTTAATTGTTCATCTTTATCTTTTATATCATTTGCTATTAATCGTCCTTTAGATTTCATATCATTTATTTGTAATACTTTATCGTTATATTTTGCTGAACGATCATTAAGTGCTTGAAGATATTTATCACGTTGTTCAACAAGACTTGAACGAGCATCAGACCATTGAGTTTCAAGTGTAGTTAATTTTGTTTTTAATTTATCAATAGCTTTCTTTAAAGAAAAAGAAAGTGTATTAGATTTATTCAACTTCTAAGTAATAAAATAATTTACCTGTAAACGTTCGGTTTCAGGATCAACTGATAATAAAAACGTAGCTGCTTGTTTCTTTACTGTCATATTTTTATTTATCTCATCAATTTCTGTTTGTTTTTCATCAGAAAATCGTTCGTACTAAAAATAAATCAAGAATAAAAATCTATTTTTGAATTTTATAAAATAAACTCACTTTTTTAATACTTTCTTCTAATTTCTGTAATTGTAATTCAAGTTCACGAATAAGTTCTTCATTTTCATTAATAGTTCCTTTTAATGTATCTAATTCTTCAGTATGATCAATATTTCGTCTAGGATTTTCATCTAAACCATTTGTGTCTTGATCATGAATATTTGTATGCATAAAACGTGATCGTGTTAATAAAGACTCGTCACCTTTCTTTTTCATATCATTACGATTATATTCATATTTAGCACCAATAGTATCACCTTCTTGAATTTGTTGACAAATATCTTTTGAAAATACATGTGTTATTAATTGACCTGGAATCTAAACAAAAAACATTAAATAGTTTATCTTCTTTCGAAATAAAAAAGATAACAACAAACCAAATAACTAGATTCACGTTGTTTTTCTAGCCAACAAGCTACTTGATTTTCATATATTAATGAATCAGCTAAGTTTCGAAAATTAACTTGTTCGAAAACGTATGAATTTAAATCTATTAATAATATACGAAAAACTAAATAATAAAAATTGTAAGAAGAAATATTTACCAGTTGATAATTTATTCTTGCCATTTATTGGAGGAACATGTAGAGATGAAACTTGATTATGATATACTGGTGTGAAACCCTAAATATGAATCATAATAATAATATAGAGAATAAGGTATGAAATATATCTACTGATTTATGAGCAAATGGTGCAGCTGAATGATAAAATGGAATATGACAAAAATTAGTAATAAGATCATGTGGTACCCATGTTGATTCAGCTAGTTGAGTTGTAATTTTATTTGATAAGACTCGATCAAGAACTTCCCAAGGATCTAAAAATTATCATTAGTTTACTAAATATGAATATTATTATTATTATTCTACATACCAAGTGTTGTAGATGCAATACTAACGGCAATTTCTCTTGGTACTTTTTCAATAAGAAAATTAAGTAATTTTCTTGCTTCACTTTCATTTATACTAAGAAATGTTTGATATCCAATATCGCCTTTATAACCATTAGACTACTAAATATAATTTTGATTAGAAATTTTAAAAAAATCTAAATTAAACAACCTGACAAAGTTGTGCTAATTCACCACAAATTTTAAATCGTGTTGATATATTTGCTGGTAAACGTGTGGGTAAATCTTTATTACCAGTAATTAATTGAAGACATTGTGAAACACAACCAAAAAGAGTGTTTACATCAAATTCATTTATATTTTGAATTGAATCATCTATTTGACTATTATATATTTATGAAATGTTTAATAAATAATATTGATATATGTGTAATAAACTTACCATCCAATATCACGTAAACTTTGTATTAAAATTCTATCAACTTCTTCCATTTTAACTATTAAGAACACTAATGTTTATCTATGAGAGTCAAACAAAGATAAAAGTAAAAAAGTATGATGCTAGTTCTAGTCAAATTGAATCGTGTGCAGTAGAAAAAGAAGAAAGTATTTTTATTGGACGAAATAAAACCAATAAAAAAATGATCTTTAACAATTGAAATTTTTTATAAATTTATAATATCAATAGATATACAATAGTTGTTTTATTTTTATACTGATGATAGAAAAAGCTGACAATCAACATCAACAATTATTTTTATTAAAAGGACAAACTATTGTTAGTTCACCAGAAGCATAGTCAATGAAAATGTTAATAATCCTGATACAGGTATAAGTCCAAATGGTAGTGAAGTTGAATAATATTAATATAAAAGTAAAATTTCATTTTTTTCATATTATATAGAGAACCGTTCACGATATAACAAAACAACATTATCCACTATATTTGATCATAATGAAGAAAAATGATATGTTGTAGCATGTCAATTTTTTATTCCTTTTATGATAGCTACTGGATTAGTTCTTGAACGTGTTCAGGTATTGATTAATATTATAACTCCATATTTTTTTTATAGTATTTCTATTTAGGAATTAAATGGATTTAAAGAAATAACTGAGATTTATATACTTGTTCCAGCTTTACTTGGTCTAGCAACAGATCAAACTCGACTTTCAATTGTTTTTGTCTTTCTTTATGTTATAGCAGCACTTATTCAAGTAAAATTATTTTTATTATTTTTACAAAAATAAATCAAATTTATTTCATTTTTTAATAGGTTATAATTCTTCTATATATTGCTCAGTGAATGGTAATATTTGTGTGGAAACATGAGCGAGATCCTGATAATGTTTATATTCCATATTTGACAGTAATTGGAGATCTACTTGATGGCACTCTTCTTCTAATTTGTGTCTTTCTTTTATTATCCTAATATTTATTCATTCTTATCTCGATGTACATATCAAAAGAAAAAAAAAGGTTTAGTTACTGTTATACGTTTTTGCTTAATGAACTGTGACGAATCTTCTTTTTTTTATAATATCATTGTCGTAGTATCTAGTTTGAATTATGAAGCAACGAATATAATGTTTATGTTAAATAGTTCAGAGAACACTAACTGAAGAATCTTTTTCATTTTATTTCAATCGAATGATCTTGAATCATAGTTTGACCCAATACTGACATAGAGTTTTGCAAAGAATGAATAGTCTGTTCTTCTCATGATGATTCTAAATATACTTGATAAGATTTTAAATCTGATTACATCATAATCTCATCATCAAATGCATTATCTATTATATCTACGTAAACAGTAAAATCTTGTTCTTCGAATTTATATAATTTTTATAATATTTAATTATATTTTCTATCAGTATTGTATCTATATTTTCTTTTGAAAAACGTAAAATGACATCTGAAGAAAGGCTTTTCTGATTATTTAAGTTCAATATACTGACGAATTTTTTTCTTTGATTGATTACTGTTATTATTACCTGTGATTTGATTTAGGAAATATTTCTTAGTATAGAAAATATATCATTGATCATCTCTAGTATCATATAGAAATCTAAGAAAGACAACTTACAACTGAATTACAACTATTAAGATCAAATACATATGTATAAATGATTTCTTGATCGTAGGGAATAGAAAGTATGATGAATATTCTTTCTTTTTATTCTCTACTAACTTTAACTTCGATAATAGATGTTAGTATGTGTAATATTTTTTTTATCAAAAAGAAAATAAGAAAAAAAAGCAAACTTATTTTAGTATCATCTATTTCTTATTATAAATACTCGTCAGTTAATAGTAGTAATTCATCATGCGAAGATTTTTTTTAGAATGATATAAAAGGTAAAACTTCATATCTTCAGACTCTATGTTTAACTAATTTACGTGGGCGTCAAGGTCTTTTTCTTGCAACACATTGTATTAAATTAGTTGCTTAGTCGCTAGGTATAATAAATTTTTATTTATTTACTTCATTCATATGTTTATTTTTATTTTTAATAGAACCAAATTCTATTCAATATATATATCAAACATGCAATAGAGATGAATTTGACGATAATTGTATTACTCGTACAAGTCATTGTGGTTTTATAAAACTTGATTGGATTAATCTACATCGAAGATTACGTGAATGTTTACATATATGTAATAAAGATGCATGTAACCAAACTTTTAATTTTTTTTCCCGGATGGAATATGATATTCATTCTTATTTTATTACGATTATTTTTTTATCTACGAAACTATTCTACATGTCAATAAATATTTTACATTAAGTGATTCAACAAAGAAAAACTTGAATATATTCGTTATATTTAATATTAATAAATAAATGTTATCATGAGTGACGTTCACGTTCTATAAATGATGAAAAACCAACATGTTGCTTTTTATGATCAAGATTAAACGATATCAAAGTTTTTTCATTTATTTTTCTCCATTGTATAAATGCTTATGCTTCTATATGTATTGCAAATACGTAGTTTATTACACATTGTATTATAAAGTTATCAATATTTATTTGTTTCAAAATTTTTGTTTTATGTAATCATGACTAGACAAATAAATTTTTATTTTATTTATCATAATATACAATAAAATAGGCAAACATGTGCGTTTGACTGTATGTTGTACAGTCACGCATCATTGCTCTTTTTTTTCTTCGTATCTTAGCAAAATATGATTCATCACTATACGAACTAAAAAAATAAACTGCGTATACGTATATCCACCTATAGATATAAAAAATCTCTCTCTTTGACTCACTATATACGAACTAAAAAATAAATTGCGTATGTCTGTATCCACCTGTACATACTCAAAAATCCCACTGTATGCGTCACTGTATACGAGTTAAAAATAATCTACTTACGTCTTTATCCGACTGTATATACTAAAAAATCCCTCTCTCTGCGTCACGGTATACGAACTAAAAATAATCTTTATCACTCTTTACAGCAAGATATGATATTCTCTCTCTCTTTTTGTCTCTCTCCGATGACGAAAAAACAACTTTTTTTCGTAGGTTGCCTTTTGCTTGACGATCAGCGTATATAAAGCCGAAGTAAATCCTCATAATTCACACAACGATATCTATCTTTTATTTTCACACAACTTTGAACAAAAAGCAAAATTATAATGGTCAGCATAATTAAATTTACTTGTTACATCATTATGTTAATGGCACTAATATGTATGACACAGAGTGCAGCTATCGAACGTTCTGCTGAAAATGATCGCCCTCAACATCTAGTAAACAAACGTACTGATTCTTCATTCTCAACGGGGTTTTTCTTCTAAGCACTGCATACATACGTCATATAATAAACGTCCCAGTATTCGAATATAACCCTGATTAAAATAATCATTTGCCATATGATCTCCATCGATCTCACCAATGTTACACCTCCGCTTGCGACTGAGGGCAACGGTTGAATAGAATCTGGAAGAAATAAATTGTTCATATCTCGTATGTTCCTCTAGTATGTAATGATCTCGAAATCTTTGGCCCAAAATGAATACAATATTTAAATGAATTTTGCGTTGAATTATTCATTTGTAGTGTGTTCCTTCACCATGTAGTAAACTCGAAATCATTGCCTCGAAATAAACAAAAGATTTAAATGAATCTTAAAATGAATTGTTCATATTACGTATGTTCCTCCAGCATGTAATCAGCTCGAAGTCTTTGCTTCGAAATGAACAAAAGATTTAAATGAATCTTCCTATGAATTATTCATTTGCTGCGTATTCCTCCACCATGTAGTGAACTCGAAATCATTGCCTCGAAATGAATAAAATATTTAAATGAATGTTGATATGAATTATTCATATTACGTATGTTCCTCCAGCATGTAATCAACTCGAAATCTTTGCTTCGAAATGAACAAAAGATTTCAATGAATCTTCCTATTATGATTTATCATTTGCCGTGTGTCCCTGAACTGTGTAAGTAAGTCGAAATCTTTGCTTTAATGTGAGCAAACTGTTTGAATAGAATCTGGCTATGAATTATTCATATTACGTATGTTCCTCCATCATGTAATCAACTCGAAATCATTGCTTCAAACTGAACAAAATATTTAAATAGAATCTTAAGATGAATTGTTCATATTATGTATGTTCCTCCATTGTGTAATGAACTCGACATCTTTGCCTCGAAATGAGCAAAATATTTAAATGAATCTCATTATGAATTATTCATTTTTCGTGCGTTCTTTCACCATGTAATGAACTCGAAGTCTTTGTTTCGAACTGAACAAAGTATTTGAATATATTCATATTATGATTGATCATTCGCCGTGTGTTCCTGAACTATATAATTAAATCAAAATCTTTGCTTCCACGTGAACAAACTGTTTGAATAGAATCTGGCTATGAATTACTCATTTGCTGTGTTTTCCTCCAATAGATTATAAGTTCGAAATCGTTGCTTTGTACTGAGCAAAATATTTGAATAGAATCTTATGATGAGTTATTCATTTCTTGTGTATTTCCGCACAATGTAGTGAATTCAACATCTTTGCCTCAAAATGAACAAAAGATTTAAATGAATCTTCTTATGAATAATTCACTTCTCGTGTGTTCCTCCACTATGCAATAAGCTCGAAATCATTGCTTGAAACTGAACAAAATATTTGAACAGAATCTTGCAATGAATTGTTCATATCTCGTGTGTTCCTCCAGCATGTAGTAAACTCGACATCTTTGCCTCAAAATGAACAAAAGATTCAAATGAATGTTGGTATAAATTATTCATATTACGTATGTTTCTCCACCATATAATGAACTCGACATCTTTGCGTCAAAATGAACAAAATATTTAAATGAATCTTATGATGAATTATTTATTTCTTGTGTGTTTCTACACCATGTAATGAACTCAACATCTTTGTCTCGAAATGAACAAAATATCTGAATGAATCTTAAAACAGATTGTTCATATCTCGTGCGTTCTTTACCATGTAATGGACTCGAGATCTTTGCCTCAAAATGAACAAAATATTTGAATGAAACTTAAAATAAATTGTTCAGGTCGCGTACGTTGCTTCAGCATGTAATGAACTCGAAATCATTGCCTGGAACTAAACAAAATATTTGAATAGAATCTGAAAATGAATTGTTCATATTACATATGTTCACCCTGCATGTAAATGAACTCGAGATCTTTGCCTCAAAATGAACAAAACATTTGAATGAAACTTAAAATGAATTGTTCAGATCGCGTATGTTTCTCCAGCATGTAATGAACTCGAAATCTTTGCCTCAAAACGAACCAGATAGTTAAATAAATCTTGGATTGAATTATTCATTTGTTACGAATTAGTTCGTTATATTTGCATGTCTGTATATCATTTCTTCGAGGTAAGAGGAATATTTGAATAAATTGGAAGAGTAATAAGTCAGGTATGTACTATTCAAAGATTGTTGTTGATATTTTATTTCATCAATGATACTTCATCCTTCAGATTATTATTTCTGATTATTTTTATATTGAATAAATTTACTATTTGTGCTTTGTAGAACATATGACGGCACAATCAAAAACCTACACAAAAAATCTAACAGCGTCATCAACCGTCATCAATGTAAAAAAACATTATACTTTAACTAGTTTCTTTTTGCTATATTCTTTTATTTTTTGCTTTCTTATTATTTATTCTCTCATATTTTTTTATCATGTATTCTCGCATATTTTTATTTTTATCTTATTAAATTTTTTTATAATTTTGTACTTCAATAAAAATAAAATCTTAAAGCATACTCTTCTCTGCTTCTTGAAAACGATACCAGATATTTATAATAAGCATGAGCAAAGTCTTATTATGTGACTAAACTCAAATATACTGCATCATCCCTCTATTATAGTCTCTTTCTATCGTTTTCAATCGCATATGTGTTCGTTTTCGACAAACGTCTACTAGTATGAGCTATTATAATGAAAGCAACTAAGCATGGCTTGATGTTTACATTGCTTACTCTAGGCTACGCGTACTCAAACGAAATAGAAGAAAGAAAGAAAAAAAATATTGAAGTAGTTTTATCTAATGCAGCATATTTAACCGATATGCATGGATAGTTTTCGTGTTCGCTTGTATATCAATAGTTTGATACAGTTATAACTTCATTGGATTGTTGTATATGGGTATTATTTGTATGAAAATTTAAAAATTAAATAAAATTCGATAATAATTAATTTTTTAGAATTATGAAGTTAATCATAAAGAATTAAATAAACTATATCGACAGTAACTTCTACATCGTTTATCACTATAATTAAAATTTATTTTATTATTTCATCGACTATATAATCAAAACAATGTTGTCAAAAAGATATTTCTCATTTATAAAAAACGATATTTAAATATCAACAGTTTTGTTTAAAAGATTTTTTAAGAGAAATTCGATATTTAGAGAGTAACAATCAGCTGTGATATATATAATTTCATTTTTGCATCAGAAAAAAATATCATATTGATTTATTTCAATTAATTAACTCAAATTTCTCAATCTGTTTATAAAAACTTTAAAATTATATCTCATTACTTTTAGATAACAATTCAATTAAGTTTTTTTTTGAAAGATTCATTCTTTTTTATGTTTTAGAAAATTATAATTCATGAAGAAGATTATGATATAGCAAACGTTATTTTTAACTATTTATAATCAGCGTGGTTTACAAACTCTACTTGATTACATTCTATATTTATGCATTCAAGTAAATAAATTCTTTCAAATGAAATATTTTAGATTTTTTTTGTTTTTTTTAATTTAGTTCAATGAAGTTTTACCATATTCGTTTAAAATCAGATCGTATTCATACTGATTCTAGTATGTAAACAATTAGTATATATTCATTAGATTTATTTTAACATTAAATAACTAGTTAGCTTGGTACAACACCTTATTTTATTATGCATAATACTGGGGAAATAAAAACTGTTGATCAATATCGTCGAGAAAAAGATATTTATATTTGTTGGTCATTATTTTCTTTATTATATCGTTCAATAAATCTTGATGATAAATCATTAGTTAAAATATTATTAACAAAAACTTTTATTATTGATAATCACTTATTAATCTTGTATGAACAATTTAATCATATTCTACAAAATGTATCTATCATTATTTATAGACAAACAATTAAATTTAACATTCAAAACACGATTGCTTGATACAAATGAAAGTATATCAGAAGATCTATGTTGTACATTGCATACATTTACAGCAGATTGTTTTCCATTAAAAAGTATAGAACTTCATAAAAGGTACACAAGAATATCATGATTATCAAGATAAATTTGAATATCAAGATCATTTATTTGAAAATGAAATTCTTTTATTCATTAGTCGTTATGTTATCAAATTAAAGTTATGTGACTATTTTTATTTAATATTTTTTGAAAAAAATCGATCGATTCGTTTTGAGCACCATTTAAATGCATTAGAAGAATTTATATAAAAAATTTTAATATCAGTTGAAAAAAGTGCATTAGTATAATTTTATGATAAATATCTATATCATTATTTGTTATTGATCAACTTGATATCAAAACTGGTTTAAATTCTTCAATTACAAAAACATTTTGTGAAACCGTTAAAAACAAGGAGAAGAAAAAAATTTATTAAATATTAAAATCGATTCAACAATTAATAGAAAAGAATTGACTAAATATGTTATAGCATGTACTCGTGCATAATTTTTTGACGGAAAAATAATTAAATCAATGAAAATGATTTTAGAAAATATAAAAATAATAGAAGATTATAAAGCTTTTATTTTTGATGCAAATATATCAAAGGTATAGTTAAAATATTTTAAAATTTTAACAAAATTTAAACACTATCAGTTACTGTAAGAAGAACTAAGAATATTATGAAAGGACAGTTCTACAGATGTTGTAACATAGCAATGTAATTTATCCAGTAATTTTCTGTTTACATACTTTCTTGATTTTTACGGTTTAATTCTTTTATATGCAGGCATTATCTTTGCAAAAATTTTTATTTCCGTGACATATTAGTTTCATCCTTAAAAGGTGTACATAACTAGGGATATTTGAGAAATGTTCATTTGAGTTAATAGTAACTATTGTTCGTTAAACAATTGAAACATGTATCCTGCAATAAAATGAGTTCGTTTACTGCTTTTATTCTTCAACTAATTTATCTATCGTAAAATTTCACAATGCTATGAACGAAAAATCCGTGGGCCGAAAATCATATAACCCAGTGACCGCTACCTTCTGACGATTCTTTTTTCTCAACTAAAAGCATTTCTTCACTATCATCTATTATTTGTACGTCAGTCACACAGATGACTTACATATTGAGAAGCAAAATGTATATTTACATTTTATTTTCATCAATATAGTATTCTACTTGAGAAAGAACTATATCTTATATTAAACATTTCTTAGCTTTACTCAATATACAATTAGTGTTCATTTTTGCATTAAACTGTGCGATGTACATTCTCTTTTTTTTAATAGATCAAAATGCAACAAACTGACTTCGATGGAATACTTCGCATTCACTTAGATTTAACTAAGATCATTGAAGATCCCTTGTATTTAGCTGAAACTCATTAACATTTGTTCGCAGCTGTCTGAATATAATCAAGAGTAGTTTGAAATACTAAATTCATTCGATCAAAGGATAATAGAGATGATAAATCGTCATAGTGACATCTATTTCTTGATCATTATTGGTAATCTTTATTGAAAAGAGCTCCAATTGTATTGGCCACTCGATTTTTTTCAAAAATTATTTGAAACAGTTATTTGAATTCTATTGAATAGAATAACTATTTCAATTAACAAAACCATGAATATTGCTTGTACCATTTGTTTGGATCGATTTTTTCTTTCATCGACCATATCAGCATCACCGTGTGGTCATTTATTTCATGATAAATGTTTGGATCGATGGATTATTGATGAACGAAAAAAGACTTGTCCACAATGTCGTACAGCAATAACACCAAAACAAATCATAAAGTAAAACTTATTCATATATATATATATATAATTTTATTGTATATCCTTTAAGAAAACTTTATTTGATGGAACCACTCTGTCAAACACAAATGCCAGTTGGTGGTCATGATTCTTCCGAACTCTTAATTCGACTGGAAGCACAAGAAACAAAAGTACTCGAATCTGAACAACGTTGTCGAAAAATTTTAAATGATTTACAAAAAGTATAGAAAATATATTGTCAATTTTTTTATCTTTATAATATTTTCGAATATCAATAAGAGTGAAGAACGACGACAAGCATTCGAAAATGATGTTACAACATTACGAAAACAAATAACTGAACAATCAACAAAACATCAACGAATAATTAATGAACGTGATGCAAAAATTAATATGTTAATGGAACAATACAAGTAGATTATGATTAATATTTTTAATTTAATATCAAATTTATATTTTAGACATATTGATTTATCAAATAAAAAAGATGAACAAATCAAAGCTCTACAAACAAAATTAACTGAATATAGAAATATTGAATTAATTTACAAAGGTTTTTGTTTTTTTCGAAAATTTATTTTAATTCACAATTTTTTTTGTTTTTGTAAAAAGGTCTTGCAAGTAGTTTTAAAAGTGAATTACAAAAAATGGTTGGATCTTGTCAAACAATTCATGATAAAGATCGTGTTATGGAAGAATTAATACGTTATAATGTTATATTAAAAGAAGAACATAGTAAAATGTCTGATGATAAACAAGATTTAATAAGAAATTTAGATCGAATAACTGCACAATGTGAAAAAATGCAATTAGATAAACGACAAGCAGTTAAAAAGTAATTTACATTGATATATATATAGTTTCTTCGAAAACGAGATGTATATTTAAATATGATCAGTTATATTTTTGTTATACTTATGAGCTTTGTGAATATTACTCATTTATTTGAAGTAAATGTGAAAGAATACTAGAGCAAAGTCGACTCCGCCTTACATACACACATCAAAGTATATATAAGGTGTCCCAAAAGTATGTTTACTTTTCATTTCGACCGAGACAGGCTTAGAGAGAACCACTACGGAATACTAATATCGATCGTAACAGAAAAAGTTTATCTTGTTACCACTGAAGAGCATGAAACGTAGTAAAGAAATTCATGTCATGTAAATTGCTAATCTGCAGCATAACAGAGTAATAGAAGACTAATAAAAAGAGACAAAATGTATGAATGAACGGTATCTAGGAATAAAAGGTTATTCGATTGTTTACATTCTTCTCCAAAAATTAGTATTCTGTAAAGGTTTTCTCTAAGCCTATCTTGATGGAGATAAAAAGTTCAGTCTTATCACACTAATCGCGAGAGAGTTATACAGTTATTTGTACGATAAAGTGACTTATAGGTCACACTGTATATATCGGAAAGATCAAGGGAAAACAAGAGAACGAATAAACGAGGATAATGTATCATAGCTGAAGGTCATGACAAGTATAATCTGGATATTATCTTGCATATTTGAGTGTATGATCATATAAAGTATTAAGATTTTAATAATTTATCGGTTATTTTGAGAAAAGAAGTTTATATAAAGATATATCAAATGTATATGTTGTAAAATAATTTTCTATATTTAGACAAGCAGCTTCAGTAGATAATACTAAGCAAGAATTAGCATCTGTTCGTCAACAACTTGAATCTTATCAATCTCGTGTTAATCAATTAGAATCCCTTTTACTTCGTACTGCTTCACCTGATACACGTACTCTTGCTCGACGTGTTCTTCATGAAAGTCCAATGTCAGATAGTGTTACACAAAAAGTTCGTATTCGTTCACAAGAACCATCAGAATCAACAAAAGTGCCATTAATCGATGATGAAAGTTCAAAAGATGATGATGATAATGATTCAAATATGGTTGATCTTACAAATGTTCCTGAATCATCTTTCCCATCCTATTCTACTCAACAATTCTCCACAACAACATCAGCTATTGATATTCTTCATTCAATCATTCAAGAAACAACATCAAGTCTTGATTTACCAACAATGAAAAAAATGAAAGTTAGAAAATTAGATGATGATACAGAAGAAAATGATGATTATCTTGTTCGTCCATTAATTCATAATGAAAAAAATTTTCAACGAACATTTAATAAATTTGGTGGACATTCATCAATACCAATTACACGACGTATAAGTAATACATCATTTAAATCGAAATCAAAATCAACAAAATCAAAACCTACTTCAACAAGAAATAATCATAAAATAACAAATTTTTTTGTTTAAATTAATCATTTATTTATTTTGATCTCTTTCTCTTGTACAATTTAAATTTGAAGAAACAAAAAAGAAACAACAACAACAACAATAATAATTGAATCTAAAACAAAAAATTAACTTTTTTTTGTTCTTCTTGTTGTTTAGCATTAACTAATCGATTATACATATGTACTTCATCTCGAAGTCTTTTTATATGTTCTAATGTCGTATCGTGTTTATCTTCTTCTTCTTGTACCTCTTCATCTATTTTCGGAGTTGTTTTTTTCTCTGACTCAATTTTTTGTTTGAGTTCATCAAAATTAATATGATATTCATAAAGATGAGAATTAACTATTCTTAAATGTTCTTTTAATTTAAAAATATCATTTTCATATTGACGATTGAGCAATACAGATGAACGAAGTTGTTCAGTTAAATTTCGATTTTCATCATAAAGTCGTAAAAGACGTTGACGTTCATAATGAATTATATGTTTATGTTGAATACATTCTTGACACTGTTGTTGTTTAGCATATTTTTCTTGAAGAATAGAAATATTATTTGGATTTGAATGAGGTTTACCATCAGTAAAAAATGATTCAGGTGGTTGTTTGATTTTATAAGTAACAAATGTATTACGACGACGTCGACGATTTACATTTTCCGATGTGATGAGTAAAGAATCTAATTGACAAAAAAAATTGTTTTTACCGAGAAAAGAAAGAATATTTAATTTACTATTATTATTAATATCGTCATCATCATCATCATCATCATCAGAAGTATTAACTTCTATAAATTCGTCAGATGAATTAATAAGTGGCGACGGTGACGATGGATATTGATGTTGTTTAAGTTTATCTTTAACATGATTTGAAAGTTGAATAATTTGCTCATGACGTTGCATTTTATTTTTATTATTAACATTGATCATACGTCCTAGGCTATGCTTTGTTTCTTTTTTATATTAATTTAATATAAAAGAAAAAGAAAACCAATATTTTTCTTTTTCTTTCACACTTTCCCCGTCTTTTTTTTTGATATAAATTCCGGAATATGAAATCTTCTATGCATCATAAAATTTTCTATTATCGCTTCTTTTTTTCTTTTTATTCTCTTACTCTTTGTTCTTAAAGTTATTTTTATAGTAGACTAGTTTTCTTTTTTTCCAAATAACACTATTTAAATATAAGAACATCACTCGTATGTTTGATTGTAATAGAGAAGTATTTTTTTAAGTATAGAATGAAAGAGATTGAATTTATTATAAATAGGAAATAGAAATAGATGTGTAATACTTAATGTGTTTATTCTTCATATATTAAAATAAATGCGTTAGAAGTTGTCTTATAAAAATGAACATTTCCAGTTTTTTTTATCATGAAATGTAAATGAGATTTTTTTTCTCGTTGAATTAATATATATTTGATTAGATATAGTTTATTGAAACTAATAGAATATTACTAATAATTAACGACTTTATTAAGTTTGAATTCATTTACAACATAGATAGAGATTGATATCTAATAAAATATTGTGTTGTTATGTAATATATATAAATTAGTTTAACCGTTTGTTTCTTGACGACATCGTTTACTTTATTTTATTTAGTTTTGAAGTAAATGTCATAGAATAATAAACGACAGCTGTGTTTAGGAAATAAAAAAAAAAGAAATGAATATAATGATATGTTAAACTATTTATTGTATATTAATTATTGATGAAAATGGTTTCTGAATTAACAGGATTTATTTATACAGGATGTCCCAGAAGTCTATCGAAAAAGTTAATTCCAAGATTTCTGATATAACTCAAGCGATTCAAATGAGCTTTTCATCATTTCATACATATGAAATAAAACGTCAAATAATGATGTAAATCGTTTGAACTGCTCAAAGCCTGATATATGCCACCTCTCTTTGCTCTATTCGTTCGTTATTGAATGATATCTTGAGGATGTACAAGGCTAGTTGATAATGTGCTAATTCTTTCTGTTGTATTAACAGAAAATGTGATAGATTCTTGTACCAGACTATTCGGAAATATTATAGGAGGTAGTACTTGTTTTTTCTTTGTTGGTAATGTAAAATAATGTGGTGCGTCATTTGATAGCTATGCAATCGATACTAGTAATCTATTTAATGTAGTAAACCGACGCTGTCCTAAAAGTGATGATAGTATAGGTGATGATGAAACCTATTGTTGTGTTAACGATGATACATAAGATATTATTTCCGATTGAAGTTTTTTGCCTAAAAATCGTTCGTTATCAAAAATATCATGAAATATTGTACGTTACAATATTCTTTCATCATTTGAACCACACGCTCAACGTCAGATACATAATCAAAAAGAGGCTTAACAGTGTCTTCAAGAGATACCAGAAGTTCTTTTTTATAACCTTGAATTGGCGGAAGTATCCTCTTGAAATTCTACATCCACATTGTAAAAACGAGGAGCTGATGTAGATTCATTCGTAGAATTAACAAATATCATTCAAAAAAAAATATACAACTAAATATTTCTAAAACATGTAAAACCGATTCTTTTATCACCAACGATGAGCTTAACGTTTAGTACAACTACACAAAAGATTTTTCTTTGCTCCAATATTTATAAAAAAATTCTAGTCATGCATACTTTAAACGGTTTACAGCGACATCTATTTGTTAGATATTGGTTTTAATAAATAATCATTTAGAAACATATTATTATTGAATTTCTATAAATAAGCATATTAAATATTATTATATTTATTAACCTATCTATTTTTCTATTTGAAGATTGGTGTAAAATTATCGACGAACGATATGTTGACTTTATTTCGTGGGGTACAAATGCTATCATTATGGCTTCCAACGAACAGAGACCGCCTTTTTTCTTCTTTCAACGAACGAAAATGCGTTAATGTTGATCTTTAATCAATTGTCTATATCATAATTTTAGATCTATTCTTCATTTATCTTTTCTATCAGCAGTTTTTGTTTATATTAAAAACAAAATAATGGCTTCTGCTAATAAGAATTCCGATAAGCAGGTACTCACAATGGCTGAAGTTCAACAATTATCAGCAGATAAAGATAAATGCATCATGGTAATTGATAATCATGTTTATGATATAACAAAATTTCTTGATGAGGTTGGTATTTTTATAATTAACAATAAGAATGATAATTTCGTTGACATATTTTTAAGCATCCAGGTGGAGAAGAGGTTTTAAAAGAACAACATGGTAAAGATGCATCAAATGCATTTGAAGATGTAGGTCATAGTTCCGATGCACGTGAACAAATGAAAGCATATGAAATTGGTGAATTACATCCCGTAAGTTAATTGAAATCAATTCATTTATTTATTATAATTATGTATTTTTCTAGGATGACATTAAAAAATCAGGAAAAAAAGTTCGTATTTATTTTACAACTATAATATTTAATTATTTGAATTTTTATTTTAGCCTCGTTCTGTAGCTGCCAATCCGAATGATAGTACAGGTGGTGCTCAAGGTGATACTGGTTCATCCTGGATTAAATGGGTTATTCCAATTGTGATAGCTATAGCCGCTGTAGTTCTTTTCAAATTATTGGCTAGACCTGGTACAGACATCAATCGACCTCCAACAGCTATTTAATTTTTTTTCGTCTGTTTTTTGTTTAACCTTATTTATTATCTACGATTTGCAATTCTATTTAAAAGAATAAGAAAAGAATAGAAGAAAAAACATCATCAAAAAGAAATCTAACACAGAGAATTCTATTTCTTGATAAATATATTCTTTTTATAGATAATACTATTTTTATTTTGTTCATCTTGTCGCAAAACAAGGTTCATTTTGCAACACGATGGCAGAAGCACAATTAACAAATCAATTAACACGTATTGATTCAATGACAAATGTTGAATTACGTGCCGAACTTAAACGACGTGGTTGTCCAACATCGGGCAATAAAAAAGATCTTTTAGCTAAATTACGTGTTGCTCTACAAAAAGAATTTGAACAAGCTTCATTAGAAGCTGCATCAACAACATCAACTGCTGATTCAATGAGTCTTGATGGACGAAATAATAATCTTTCTGGTATACAACAATCACCTATTGCACAATATGATATTAATAGATCGTCATTAAATAATTCATCAAATAATTATATGACACCAGATAGTGGAAGTCCAGTTGTATATTCTCAACAAATACCAGGTGCAGAGGCACCATTAACATATACTAATTTACAACTTCATGATCAAGTAAGATATAATAAAAATCAATGATTTTATTCTCAGATTATTTGTAGAGAAGAAAAAAAACTCTTTTAATAGATAGTAGATTTCATTTATTTTTGTTTTTTAATAATATTAATTATTCTGTTCTTTTAGGCAGCTGGACAATATGCACCTGTATACAATTTATCAATGCATCAAAATGCTCATCAACCTTCCGCTCCTATGATTCCAGTACCTCAACAATTAACAATTGCACCAGCAGAAATACATCCAATGTATAATCAATCTCTTTTACAAAATCAGCAACATCAACAACAACAACAACACCATCACCAACACGTGTCACCAATGAATACACGTCAACAAAGAAAAAGTGTTGATGTTCCAGCAAACACATCTATTACTCCAACTGTTCTAACACCATCACCGGAAAGAAAACCACGAACACGAAGTAAAAAATCTTCAGTTGATTCTCAATCAAATGATATTCAACAACCAATATCATATAATCCACCTGTTGAGAATCTTCCAATTGAAATCATCAATCCAACAGCTGATCTACCAATGATCAACATCGAACAACCTGTTGACAATTCATCAGCAAATGTTAATAATGGCAACAACAATATAGAGGTGAACCCGTTTGTGAGTAAGAGTAATGAGGAGGAACCGAAGGATATAGAAAAAGTAAGAGAAGAAAGAGGAGATTCACGTTCACCATCTGTAGACAGTAGTAGTGCCAAATCCGAGTCTGTTATTAAAGAAATTCCGTTGTCCGGTGACCGACATCGTTTGAGTCGATCGAAATCACCTAAATCACGTTGGCATCATTCGCCATCACCAGCAACGACTGAAGAAGAACAAAAATCGGCTATAACAATTACAAATGATGACAAAGAGTATGTTTCATTTTTTTATTAAAATTATCTCATTAATTTTTCATTGTTTAGTACAACTAATGAACAAGTTGAAAAGTCATCAACTGTAACTTTATTTGCCGAAGAAATGGGCGATTTAACTGAAGATGAAAAGAAACAAGTATGAAATTTTATTTTTGAAAAACAAAACTATTAATATTCATTTAATATTCAAGGATCAATCATCTGTAAAGAAAACTCAAGAGACTACGAAAAGTAACTAAATTAATTTTTTATTTTTATTTATATAATTTTTTTAAAATTCTATAGATGAAGAAGTATCTTTAATTAATAATCAACAAGCAGAAAAACCTGCACCTCAGCAACAACTTAAACCTAGCCGTTCTCAAACATCATCATCATCATCAGCAGCAGCTTCATTAATGAAAGGTATTAATCGATCTACAACAAGTAATCGAATGAATTTATCATCTGATATTCTTAAAGTAAATTATTATTCTTATATCGATTTCTTATTTATCTGTTTCTTTGTGTTAATTAGACACTTATTCCTGATATAAGTTTAGCACCTGACTCTAGTGTAACTGATGAACTTGAAGCATCCACAAATGAACATGATAATAATGATGATAATGAACAATCATCAAATCAAGCAATGCTTGAAACAAGTGTCGGCAATGGTTTTCTCTTATCTGATTCAATGACTATTGGCGATTTAGCTGATCAAAAACAACAACGTAATCGAACTGTTGTTATTGATGTTGCTGTATGTTGAAATTATTCTAAAGAAAAAAGATTTTCTATATCATTTTCTTTTTCTTCTAGGTTGATTCATCATCATTAAATGATGATCTTATTAGGAATGGTTCGGATACTCGAAAGAAAACTCCAACATCAGCACCATTTGCTCGTGTTACTTCTTTCGAATCGAAAACATTACTTGATGGAAAAACTAATGGTATATATATAAAAGAAATATTGTTTTAATTAATAATCAAATTCTTTTGTAAATATTTTTCTATAGCTTTAATGATGGATGAACCAGTACGTGTTAAAGATCCAACAGAAACACTCGAACCACCCAGTCGTATTTTATATATTCGTGGTCTCACACGCCCATTTACACTTCCATTATTAAAAGAACTTCTCAGTCGTTTTGGTACATTAGTTGATGGAGAATTTTGGCTTGATAAAATAAAAAGTCAATGTTTTGTAACAGTAATAATTAATTTTTACGAAAAAAAAGCATTCTCTATCGAAATATTTGTTTCATTTTTATATTAGTATACTACTCTTGAAGAAGCACAAAATGCTCGTGAAGGTCTTGATGGTTGCCGATGGCCATCAACAAATCCGAAAACATTATCTGTTCGATTTGGTCGACAGAATGAAGTATGTTAACAATTAAATTTTCAATATTTATTTCTTATTATATTTGATTTTAGTTTGAATTTAGCAAATCACATGATTTACCACCTGATCAAATGTCAATTGGTAGAAGAATTTATAAATATATTTATTTATTTATTTAAAATTTGTTTTATATTTATAGATGCAATGGATACAACAAATAATCGTCTTATACAAGAAAAATCAAATAATACTAATAATAAAACTTCGACATCATTACGACGATCTGCAAGTCCAAATAATGAAACAAAAATAAATAATAAAAAAATTCGTCCAAGTGGTAATAATGATGTACGAGAGTGGGATTTACCTAAATTTCATCAAGAAAAAGAAAAATCACCCACAGAACGTAATGTTATTGAAGAACCAACAGGTAATTAAATAAAATTTCATCATACAATACTGATGAAATAGATATATACATATTCCTATCCGATGATGTATGTATATCAAAATAATGCTTAAACTAAATTATAATTGTATGTTCAAGGTGCATGCAACTCTAATCGAAATTTTAGCAAAAGAAATGAGTCATTTTAAAATTTTGATATCTTATCTTAAAAGAGTAAAGTCGAGGCACATGATAAGATAAGGTGAGCTAGTACGATATCGTATGACTTAGCTTCAAAGTTCAGTTTGAAACTAAAAATAAGCTTTTATATTGTTCAGTCAACTGAATAATTATTTATATGATATCAATCTATCCGAAAAAAACTATATTATTATGGCACATTTACTTTGACCCATGTCAGATAGACTCATAAAGCATAAGAGATTAGAAGTCATGATAATTTCTATAATATTATCGACAAATATTTATTTCATTTTATTTTAATATTAGTAAAAAGTAATGAACCACCCGCAAAAGGTCTTGATGATTATTTTCGTAAAACAAAAGCAAAACCAGCTATTTATTGGCTACCATTAACCGAAGAACAAGTATGATTTTTTTTATCTTAGTAATGAAATATATTTTATTATTATTATTATTATTTAGATTCTTGAACGAACTCGTCGACATGAACAACGTACCGCTGAACGTGATGAAGAACAGAGAAAACGTCAACTTGATGAAACTGCTCGTGTATCAAACAGCAATAAAGATTCTGTATAAATTTCGATCTTTGTCTCAATCAATTTTTATCGAAATATTTTTTATTTTTTTTAGAAATCTCGTTCAAATAATAATGATAATACGTCATCAAATCGTTCTCATCGTCGATCACCATCACCTAGAGAAAAACGAAAACGTGTATCATCATCAAATGTCTCATCACCTCGACGAGATACTAAACGACATTAAGGATATTATTGATTTCTTTTCAATAAAGAGTGTACATAACTTGTACTCTTTCTGTTTTTTTCTTTTCTTTTTTGTTTTTCTTTGTTTTCATTTGCTCTTGTTCTGTGTTTATGAGATTCGACCCGAAGAAGAAATACAGAAATATGTTTGTATACATCAACCATCATTTATTTCTCCAGTTTGTTTTACTTTCATTTCGCGAGAGTATATCATTGTTGTTTGTATTGTCTTTTCTCTTCTCTTTTTTGTCTTCTTCATCTTGTAAACGAGAAAAATAAAAAAAAAACAATTTTTTGTTTCATTCATTTCATTATATTAGTATTGAATCATTTTGAAGATCGATAGAATTTTTCTAAAGAAAATGCAACGCAGACATATTGATCTTATTAACTCACTTGTTCATCAAGATATTATTAAAGATGAACGAATTAAAAATGTTATGATAGCAACTGATAGAGTGGATTTTACAACAGATCGAGCCTATGATGATACACCACAATCAAGTAATACATTATCAATCATACAATAATTAAAAAAAAATAAACCAATTAATCATATTCTTATTTTTATAGTTGGTTATAATGTAACAATATCTGCACCACACATGCACGCATATGCACTTGAAATGCTACGAGATAAACTCGTACCAGGTGCTCGTGTACTTGATGTTGGTTCTGGTTCAGGATATTTAACTGTATGTATGGCTCGTCTTGTTCAACCGAATGGAAAAGCAATTGGAATGGAACATATATCACAATTAGTTGATTTATCATTGAAAAATATTGCTAAAAATAATCAATCACTTATTGATGATGGTACATTGGAAATTGTATTAGGAGATGGACGTTTAGGTTATTTACAAGGTGGACCCTATGATGCAATTCATGTTGGAGCAGCTGCATCAGATCGTCCTATAGAATTAATTGAACAATTAAAACCAGGCGGCCGTTTAGTTGTACCAGTTGGTATTGGAAGTCAACGAATGATGACTTATGAAAAATCCTTAGATGGTAGAGAAATACATGAACAAGCTACATTAAATGTGAGATATGTACCTTTAACAGATAAAGATAAACAATGGAATCATTAATTTTTTCATTTTGTTACCCTTTTTTTTACAATATTATGTGCATTAATAAATTTTACCATAGTTATTATTTTTCTACTAATTTGATAAGTATTTAATGTAAGAAAATATACTTAAAAGTATTTTAGAGATATTTCCTGTTGATAAAATAATACTATTAGTTTCGAAAGCTAAATGTCCTGGATAAAGCACTTAAAAAGTCAACGTTAAAAACACATTTGATTACTTCCTCTATTCTTTCATCTTTCATTATATTACAATTACATGTGGAATTTATTTTTACTCTATAGTTGTTGTTATATTTATTGAATCGATAGAAAGAAAATCAATCAATCAAATGTTATTTATTAAAATTAAGGTTTTTTTCTTTTACCTATTGTTATTTGTAATATTATGAATAACATTAGTTCACAATATCTTACTTTTTTTTGTTTTGTTTAAAGAATTAAAAATGAAAAATATATTATTAACAAATAATCACATAATACATATATATTTCTTTTTTTGTCTAATAGAAAAAACACATTATTTTGGTAGTAAAGAAATTGATTCTCTTTGAAGATTTTTGTCAGTAATATCTATAGTTTTATTTAAATCATTAGTTGTTGTTGTTGTATTTAAAATTAATTGATCATTTTTTATTGATACTCGGATTTGTTGTGGTTGTTGAAAACGACTTGGCCTTGCTTGTTCAGCTGATTTTGATCGTCGTCGTATTGCTCGTTGAAAACATTGTGGTAAATGTGGAATAAGTAATTCAAACCATCCACATAATGTTCGACGATATGGTGGTGTTGTTATACCTTAAGAGAAAAAGAAGAAGAAAATTAATTTGAAATTATTTATTTATTTTTAATAAATATTTTACCATAGAAAATAAAATTTAATGAATGATTACAATATTGCATGAGATAAATAATAGCTTTAAAACGTGGATAAGCAACTTCTTCATTTTGATCACGAAATAAAATAGTTGTTACAAATACAACTGGACTTACAAGTATAAAATATAATAAATTAAGTGTAAATAATAAATAAAATAAACTTTTGGCTTTATTTGTTGGTCCACCTGCTTGACTACTATGTCCACTTGTACGAACACGTCGTTGTTGATAATAAACACGATATACAATTAAAAATGTTCCAATACTCATAACAGTAAATGGAATAAGCGCATAAAGACATACATCAATCCATTCCCATACCTAAACAAAAAATGAGATTTTTATTTTTTTTCTCTAAATATGAAAAAAAACTTACATGATCCCAAAAGAATTCATATCGACTTCCTTTAGTTGCAACACATTGACGTAGAGAAAGTGTTGTTGTTGATGAATCGAATGGTGATATATAAGCTGTTACATTTGGAATTGATGTAACGAATGAGGAATAAAAAAATCGATTAGATATTGATGATGATGATGATAAATCTCTTTTTTCTCTTGGACATAAAAAATTCCATTGAGGATTATCACAGATTGAAAGTAAAAAAAATGATGATTCTAAATTACGTTTATGTCTATTGTTATTATTATTATTATGAATTTCAAATTCATTTGTTATCGATGATATTTGTGTCGATAAACTTAAACGTAATGGTGATAATGTTGTATATTGATCTGTATTTGTTGTTAATTCAATTGGATCTGTATCTTGTATACGAAGAAACATTAATTCATGACAATTAAGTAATGCAATGATAACTAATATACATGCAACAATATAATCAGCTGAACGAGGCGTACAAAATTTTCTTGCAAATTGTATACAATTTGTTGCAACAGCACGATCAACAGATATCATTGATAATATCCATGATGATGAATGTTGAGACCAATATGTTATAAATGTATGTAAACGACATGTTATTGGATGAACATTTCTTAAGGAAAATGTACCATCATATTCAATTGTAAGAAATAAATCAAGTAAACCAGAATAAAGTACTAATAAATCCATTAATGAAACTAATGCAAGATAACGAAATGTTGATGATTTACGTAATGTACCATGAGAAAATATTATAAATGAAAGAATATTACCAAATGTACCAACTATAAGAAGAAATATCGAACCATATCGAACCAGAGATGGATCGAGGCCAGGCCCTGTTCCTGGTGATGTTTCAGAATTATCAGTCATTGCATCATCTATTCTTATGAGAAAAGAAAACCTTTATTTAATATAGGACTTGGCCTTATTATTATATATATCATCGTTTTTTGAATGCTGTCTCCATATAATCTCTGTCATCAGTCGGTTAGTCATTCACTCACTCATATCGAATTGGCCAATTGGTTTGGCCATGTGGAAAGCATCATAGCTCAGAAATGCCGGATCCGATTACATACGGCGCATTGGTTATAGATATTTCACTGACTAGTTCTATTTTCTTTTTTTTTCTATTCCATCTGTATTACTCCCTTTTCTTATTCTTCCTCCTTTTCTTCATATGCATTTGCATGCTTTTTCTCCTTTCCTCTGTCTCTCTCTCTCTCTCTCCTCTTCATATTGAAGTGCAAGTAGTTTTTCAAGCGACAAAAATCGTTTTTCTATCCTATCTCACTAAGGAGCAACAACGAACACATATACATAAATATTCAACAGCTGCGCCAAGATTCATCAAACGAAATATTAATAGTTCATTGAAATGATATTAAATAAGAGGGTCACCTATATATTCATATCTTGAGATTTCCTTGGACAATTCAAGTATCTTCTTACACTTTACTATATTTATATAAATATATATGAAAAGATAAACAAACTGATTATCTCTGACCTACAATAATAAACATCGTAGTAAAAGATGGTAGTGGTTGTTTTTTTTATAGAAATTAATGATGTGAAATCTCGTCTTCTAGATTGTATTTTAGTTCGTATTTTCATATTTAGCATTATTACATCTATCTTTCTACCCACTTCTGTACTTTGTGAGTGGCAACGAATGAAGAGAATAAGGTCGAGCTTCGCTTCTCTTCTTATGAATAATAAGTTTCGAGCTGACAATTGTCTGCTTAAAGAAGATTGAAGTGTTCATATATGTGCCTATAAATATATATACATATCTATGTATATATATATATATATATATACAATAATTGATATGAAATATAAATTATCATCGGATTAATACAAGTGAAAATAAAAAACACATGTATAATTTCATTTATTTTTCTTGTATTATATGAGAGTGCATTATCTAATAGATTTGTATCACGAAAGAATAAACAAACAAAACACAAAAAAAAGAGTTTGCTGTTCTTTATTGACAAAGATTTGATAGACTCTCTCTGTTTCTCTATAAATATCTATCTATATAGTTCTTTTTCTCTTTCTTCTTCTTTATCTAGAACCGATTCGATGTTCCCTAGCGGTTGTTTTTTCTCACTATTACAGTTCATCTAATATAGTGACATACATTCGTTGATAATGATGCGTGGATTATTAGATATATTTAAAAACGATCCAAAACTATTCGTTTAGAGTTATTTTTCTTACTAATATCATTTGTAAACTTTTGATTGATCGAAGAAAATTTTTATAAGTATAGATAAAATTAATAAGAAGGAAGAAAAAAATAATGATATGGATTAATACGATATAATTGAGATAACTAACATGTATATAATATATTTAGTTGAAAACGATAAATTTAAAGAGAGAGGGAGAGAGAGAAAGACGAGAAAAGAAAGTTTATAGATGCATATTTTCTTAAAGTTGTTGTGACAGTCGATGTTTCATTTCGAACGACTAATCAAATAAGAAAGAAATGTTTATAACGAAATAAATGTAAAGAACTTATAAAATCGATTTTGTATCAAGATAAAGATAAAGAATGAACATAAACGAGCGAATGATGAGTTGGTCGATTGAATGATTGATCGAGCTCAAAAAGATACTTACATTAATACAGGAAGATTTTCCACTTTTATCTTTGACTTCATCCTTTCTTCTTGCGGGTCGTAACTATCTTTGAACTGCTATTAATACTATCAAAGAAAAACAAGACTCACTTTGTTATTGACACATCTTACTCTAAAACTGCACTAGGCGTTCGTTTCTTTTGGCTTTGATCGAATTACATTACACATATACACGCACATAACAAAACACTCTATCATGGGGTCCTGTCGATGAAGACAACAGACAAAGAGAGTTCTTGAAAAAAAAAAGGGAAAGACAGAGACAGAGAGACAGAGAGAGAGGCACACAGAGGGGAGAGGACAACTAGGAAGTTTTCTCTTCCTATTAGTGATGCTTTTGCTTCCTTTCAGCATTATCATCACCATAGTCTTTCCTAGCATCACGAACGCACACACGCACACAAACGGAAACAATCAACCAGAGCGGTAACACTAGCAATACTAATATCGAAAAGAAGAATAATAAGATTAATTTATAGCAAGCGTAGATATGTATCATAAAGACAAGTAATAAGAAAAATTAGACGAACTCTATGTTTGTGTGTGTGTGTGTGCGAACCAAAATGACATGCAATATGAATCATATGTTTTTAACAATATTAATCATTGAAAAGAGTGAAAATTTTTACAACACAAAAAGAAAGAAATCATAGAATATATTTTGCGTCAGTTGTTACGCGTTTTTTTTTGTATGCTACTAAAAATAACGAATCTAAAATGATTGATATGTATTCCTACTGAGATCTTCGATTCGATCATCGCTAATTTAATTTATAAAAAGAACCGAAATAATTTGTCTATATACTGCTACGACCGTACTTTTAGTTAAAGTATCTCTATGTCATTCATGCGAATAAGTCTGATAAGCGTGCGTGTATGGATGTGTAATGAAACCATATAATAGTAATAACGAGATGAACATTATATGAAAAACCTTTTTTTTTGTTCATAAATATATGTCGATGAAACCTTAGAAATTAATAATATTTCTCAATAGAATTTCGAGAGAAAACAAATACGAGTCTATTTTTTACAATCTTATTATATCTAGATAGATATGGAAATGGAAAAAAACTCACATTAAAAACCTATTTGATTTTCCTCAGTCTGTCAATAATAATTTTACTATATAACTATACAATTATAATAAAAATGAGTTTTTTTCTTCTCTCCTTATAGTAAAATACTCTTTAATTGTATAGAAAAAGAATATAATGATAAATATAGTTTATCAAAAAAAGAAAAAATAAGAAAGTGATAACTTTTGTTTTCCTATTTGATTAATATATGTGTAACACGACCTACGTCAATATGTACATTATAAGAAGTTAATTCATTACATATTGTCACTTTATTTTGTTACATGCTTACATACATCCGTTTGCTTATTGTCTACATATAGTTCTCTTTCTATAGGGAATCAAGTTCCCTTTGTGAATCTCTTTTCAATTTGTGATTGAACCAATTGAAAAGCGAAAAAAAAAATAAAATAAAATAAGACCCATAATAACTATACTCACTCAATATTCACACATCATCAATAACTTATTGTTCTTCATTTTCTTTTTGTTTTTTGCTCTCTATCACTTTCTTGGGTCCGTGCGATTTGCATTAGATATGAATGATTTGTTAAGGCGAGCAGCTTGTTTTATATTACGTGCGTAAAAGAAAAAGAGAAAAGAAAGAAAAGTAGTTTTTCTTTTCCTATAGGACTGCCACGAATCATTAATAAAACATCAATAAAGAAAAAAAAAGAAAACTTCTTCCGTACCTAAAAAATATAAAATATTAAAAATTTTCTTTAAATTGTTTTTGTTTATAGAAGCATATAATTTTAAATAGCTATTATCACTTACAATAAACCCTATTTATTTATAAATATGTAAGATGATTAATCATAAGACTATAAAATATTTTCATCAAAATATGAAGTGAAAAAAACTAAACAATAATGAATTAATTATCGTGAACGATACATAGTCATATTTTATTCATTTATTCTAGATATAAAACAGAAAAATATTGATTTATGTGTTTTTTTTTCCGTTTGTTTTTATTTTACAATAAAGTTAAGTGCCAGCAAATGATGTCGATCGTGAAAGAGCTCGTCCAGATTTTGGTAATATTGGACAAACTTTTGAGAAAACAAAATTTTGATGAAGAACATTGTTATTGTCATAATCACTTGATTCATCAACTAATTCCATACGTGTACGGAAAAGTATTTCAAGAATTTCAATCATAGATGTATTCGGAAGTTCAATGCAACCATAACGTTTACCTTCAAGATTTTGTAATGAATAATCGCTTACTGATGTACCAATAGTTTGAGATCGACCAATAGAACTTAAAGTTTTTTTTCTTGATGGACTACCTGGTGCATGTGGTGGACTTGATGATTCTTTAGATGATGATATGGATGTTTGACGAAGTGTTGTAACCATTGGTAGTTCTTCTTCATCTTGATCATTTTCTTCGACTGTTGAAAAACTTGGTTTAGCTGAGGTTGCTGGAGATGATGGAGTGGCGTCAGTAGATTTGTCTTCATAAACTGTGATAGTTGATGTATAACGTTCGAATATTGTACATAGAAATTGTAATTCACCAAAAATGAGAATTTTAGAGTCAATTGAGAATAATGAATTGGAATTATCTTCACGTTTTAAATAAATAGTATCTGTATAATGAGATCGTGCACGAGATGATGCTTTTTCACCAATTGATGCTAATGTTCGACGACGAACATTCAAAACTGATTCAAGATCAATACTTCCTGTATTACTAATAGACATGTATTAATCTAGAAAAAAAAATGAAACAAAAAAGAAAAGAAAAGAAAAGAAATGAATTTTTTTTTTCATGAATCACTAAACTCTGTATATAAAAATTGATAGATTTATTTAGTCCTTTTTTTTGCTGTATAGAAGAATATTTAATGAGCTTTTGTATCGATTAATGGTAATGGTCGAGCCGATTCATGTGAATCTTTATTGCGTAATAAAATAAATTCTTGTAATTTTGTTGTTGCTCCAAAATTTGTTGAATTAGCCACAATTGAAAAATAATGTTTATGTAAAATTTCTAAAACTTCAATTAATGACATTGTTGGTAATTCAAGTGTTGTATAAATTTTTCCCGATAAACGATCATGATTTTTAACCTTTTCAGGATCTTGATGATGAATTTTAATATGCGATGTATATTTTTGAAAGATATCCGTTACAACATGATAATCACCTAGAAAACAAAATAAGATTTATAACAAAAAAATAACAAAAATCTTTTGAATATACCATGAAAAATACAACGAGCATCCTCTTTAAGAATATCATTCGATTTTTCAACTTTTAAAATAATAACATCTGTATAACGATGTGCATCTTGAGATGCTTGAGGTGTTGTTACTGATAAACGTCGACGACGTACCTGAAGTACTGATTCAAGATCAATTTCAGTTGTTGACAAAGCCCTTTGTGGAATTTGATCCATTGGAATTAACTATATATATATATAAATATATACTAGACATTTAATACGAAAATAAATTAAAATTATCTGATCTTCTAATTACAAAAACCTACCAATGAATTTTGTGTCGAGACTGATTCTCGCCGTTCACCTACAGATGTAACTTGCAATATCGGAATTGTACATGTAGATTCTCTACGTGCAATTGCTGCTTCCTCATACATTTCTGTTAAACTATACTGTAGATCTTTACTTTTCTTTTTCTTGTAATATATTTGTCACTACTCGGCTGATATTTTTATGAAGTTATTCTTATTGAGAGTAATAAAAACGTACAGAAAGAAATAAAACATAAATTCTTTCTTTCATTTTTTTTTTATTTTTTTTTACCTTATTTTATTCGATGGTAATGATCTTTTCCAAGAGAAATCAACTCGTAAAAAACAATATGATATACAGTTCTTAACGATGATATTTGCTTGCCGTTTTTTTATTCTTGCTACTCGAACACGCACACGCTATTAAGAGTAAGAAAAAAGGGGAGGAATATCGATATGTAATGACTATATAAAATAAAAAAAGACGATAAAAAAAAAGAGACTGAATGTGTGTCCCTATCATCAAACCAAGCAGAACAAACATCCTCGCCTGTAAAGGTGTGCTCACATACACTATTTTTTATCGTACATTGCTGTTACCAATACTTTTCGCTTTCTTTTTTTTCTTATATTTTGTGATAAACAACGTTTTCTTTCTGTCTCTCTTTTACTTAAATATATATTATTTTTCTAAATCAATTTTCTAAGTCAGCGCCTGTATTTCTTATGAGAAACTTCGGCTGTCTAGTAATCCTGTGATTCTTATCACATTTATATGTGTCTCAAGGTTGCATCTGTGTGATATGTTATGTTGATATTATTTAATGTCAATCATCCTAAAAATAAATCAATTGATTAATTATTTCTACCTTTTTTCTTGCATACATATTTCAAAATAATAATGAATATTATTAAAACCGAATTTGTTTAATATAAAAAATATACACAAAAAGAAAAACGACTGTTATGTAAAACACGCACTGTAGTAATCAGATGGAATGAATGTTACTTTCTTTTTTTTTAAAGTCGTTCGATGCTTTTTACCCCCTCCCCTCATTTATCCATGTTCTAAAACTAAGCATAAGAATACTGGTGGTTAAAAAATGTTGGTCATGATAGACTACTTGCATTTTAACTATACAAAGTAAATGCGTAGTAAGAAATACGTGACCATTTGTTCGAAGTACACGTGTTACAATAGTAATGATATGAATATTAAAAATATTTATTATATAAACATACGAAGAAATAAATTGCTTTTTTTGGTATAATATTTTAAAATTAATGAAATGTTTGTTTTTATTTAATCTGTTCGATATAAGATGTTATGAAAATAAAATTGATTAGATGTTTTAAGTAGATCTCTAAAATATATTTGTTTATGTCTTACTTTTACCTATCATTTGTTTAATGTCAATAAAGTGAAAGCCAATTAAAATAAATTAGTTAGAATTTTATGATGTATTTCCATGATCAGAAGTTTATCAAGATTCATATCCGTTTGTTATTACACAATCAATAAATTTAATAAGTTCAGCAGATTTGTTTTCTAAAATCAAATGAATGGTTCTTAACTTTTCGACATAACTCTAATTGGAATTTATAAGAAACAGGCAGTCGAGCAAAATTCTTATAAAAATTTTTAATCAAGATAGCTAGAGCCTTGTACCCGTCGCTATTCGAGAGCAAGGATTAGTAACATTCCCCAGTCACAAGATTCTAGCTTTCTTGATTGAAAAGTTATAAAAATTTTGTCTGACTGCCTTTTTTTTCAAAATAAATTCTGGTAGTATTTATTTTTATTCCTTATTAGCAATTCTTGATTTATTCTTTTTCTTCTCAAAATTGTTGAAGCCTTACATAAAAATATCGATTCCTATTTTAAGAAATCTCTTCAAAATATTTTCTCTTATGTCAATAAATACGAATGCACTAAAAATATAAATATAAATGAGTTTTAAGATTAACTAACCATTGATAATATTATAGAATCTCTATATATAATAACTATCAAAAAAAACAGAAATATGATTATTTAATGTTTTTATGATTAGATGTAATATAAATTTATTTATCAATCAAATAATATTAGAAATAAATTCATATTATTTTCTAGTTTCTATTATAAAAGTAGTAAAAAAATTTATTCAAGCATCTGTTTGAGTAGAGAGTATTGTATATTTTAAGTATGATAATACACGATAGGGTAAATTTATAAGGCATAATTACGTTAGATTTAAAACTCGAAATAATTTTTCGATTTATTCTATTATTCTTCAATAACATAAGACTATTCTCAATTAATTTTTCATTTAAAAAATATTTTTTCTCAAATCACTTGATTTAATTGATCTTATACCCTTCAAAACTCTGCTTTGTTCTATTAGACAAAAATAATGAAAAAGCTTCCGAATGTTTTTTTTCTTTTGTATTCATTTATGTAAATAAAGTTAATTATAGATATTACTACAATTCTTTTATGGAAAAACAAAACTTGAATATTTAATCATTCGTAGAATAATAATCTTGATTATTATAGTTGTATTCAAAGAGAGTATCCTGTTTGTACCGGAAATGTTCAAAACAGTTAATATATGATAAATGATTATGATTAATATTCATATTTTTTCAGTAATCTGATATTCAATTAGAGATGTTAGTTCAATATGATTATTAAAAATAAATTGATCTTTTGTAGACATAAATATATATTCAGCTTTTTGAGTAAGTTTATTGAATTGAATTTAAGAATGAACGATATTTTTCTAATAAATTAGCATATTAATCAACAGGCAAAATACCTTTTCTCTTATCAATTTATCAGCCAGTGACGTAATCAAACAGGCCTTGGAGGAAGCTTAGCCCTTCTTCTTCCTAGAAAAAAAGTTCTTCTTTATAATTATGAAGACTTATCTTCGATATTTTAGCATCATTCAGATCGCTTGTATTCATATCATAATAATTCTGAATTTCGACCCAAATCGAAATTAGAATTGCATTTTTTACAGAATTTTAATAATAAAAACTTGTTCATCTTTCACATTCATTTTATACCCTTCACATAACTTTTGAATGTATGTAATAAGTATCTTTTAAATCAATATTCCGTTATTAAAATCTCGAAAGATTATTTTACAAAACGAGACATAAAGATATCTTTACAACAACAAACCTCACTATCATCTAACTCGAAAATTATATTAACCTGAGAGGGGTGGGTGGGTTACTGTTTCCTCTACGTTTTTTTCCTGTTTACTCCACTATTATCAACATTTTAAACTCAAAGTTCAAATAATTCCTCTAGTCTAAAAATAAAAAGTTAACATGATCTTAATACTAATACTAAAGAATTAAATTATTTTTTTCTCAATATTAACACCAAAGTATTTACTCATTTTTCTAATCCGTTTAGAAGAAATATAATAGCATTTTTTTAACGCTAATACTAAAACTTGCGTATTAATTATACATGATAGATTTGTTTTTCTATAATTCATTGTTTTTTTACATTGAAAAAAGAAATATTTGATAAATTATTCATTAAAACTATTTTTTGACACATGTTTACATCCATGATTTTACCTTTGCTGTATTACACGTTACTATTGACAACGAGCCTCTATACATGCAATGTCTACAGAATAATTTCCTTCCACGCTTTTTTTATACTCAATTGACAAGCAGGCATGGTAATAAAAGGAAATTAATGACATCGTATTAGAAGTGTCGTGCGTGTTGTAGACATGAATATTATTCATCTATTTATTTATTCAAATAAACGTTATGATTCACCATTAAAAATGTCATTTCCTGTTATTGATTTTGTCAACTGAGAGAATATAAAACAACGAATTTCTTACGTAGGCAATGGAGTAAACTACGTTCGAAAAGCAAAATGTCAAGATCAACTTCTCCATCAAATAATGTATAGGTTTTTTTTATTTATTTTTTATTTAAATATTTATCAAATATTTTAGGTTATACCATCACCTAAATTATCAATATCCTCGAAAGAAAATGGTATTACATTAACATCACATGATGGAAAATGTACAATTAAGGGATTATTTGCTCGGCAAATTCCACGTTGTGATCCTTTAACACAAGTTGTCGTTTGTAAACGTTTAGCAAAAGTACCCATGTTATTTCTTGCAGTAAGTTATAATAAAAATTTAATTCAAATCAATTAAATTGATTAATTTTATTAGAAACGTCGACAAATGCGTAAAATTGAAATTGAAAATAGTAATGATACATATACAGAAGACAATGCTGGTTTAATGGCGACATTAACTTCAACAGAAACATTTGACTTTGAACGTGAAGCTGAAACATTTGATGAATATACAACAAAAGTAAATTTGATTATTAGTTCTTTCTTTTTTTGTTAAAAATTATAAATGTATTTATTTTGATTTTTAGTTAGAAGAAGCATTGACAATATTAAAAAATATGAAACGTGAAGAATATGAAAGTGAAACAGCACTTAAAGTTCTACGATTTCTTGAAAATCTTATTCATCAACCTAAAGAATGGATTTCTGGAGCAAAATTAAAATTATCTGAAATGAAATTTCCAGGTTTAGAAAATTTAAATCTCATTTCTAAATATATACATCTATATTTATATAGAAATGGCAATGACATTAATGCATAGTTACAAAGAAAAAGGTTATCTAGTTCGACGAATTGTTTTTGTTCATAGTATCTTACTTTATAATTCAATGAGTAATTTTACCGATCATGAATTTGATAGAGAAGGACTTATTAGAATGGTTAGTTTAATTTAAATATGATAATATATATATTTATAGAATTGATTTTGTTTTAGCAAGCAGCTGATGCTGGTTATATTGAATTTGCATGTGAAATTCTTAAAGATTCATCTTATCTTGAATCATTAAAAAAATGTTACGTTATTGATAATCCAGAGGAAATAATAATAAATGATGATTTTCATAATTATCAGGTATTTCTTATAGTATTTTTTATTTTATAAAACTAATATTTTGTTCTTCTAATTAGAAAATTTTGTATATTTGCGATTCAGCTCTTACAATACTTTATAATATGGCAAATTTACCTGAATTAAAAATTCATTTTCGTGAGTGCAATGCAACTAGTGTATGATTTTCTATAATCAAAAATTCATTGTAAAATAATTTGATTCTCTATTTTTTAAAGGTAATAGCCGAATATACAAAATTATCGTCTGATACAGTTGTTATTCAACCATCCGATGCAAGTACAAATGAAGATTATATAACGAGTATAAAAGAATTACAAGATATTGTTAGTGCAATACGTGTAACATCATGTTTGTTACTTCCATTAATAATAAATGAAGATGAGGATAATTTATTAGCAGCCAATACATCAGGTAGAAGATATTGATTTATTTTATTATGATATGTATATGTATATATATATTATAGATGTTCTTCCTTTATTATCTGAAATGATTCAAATGTATAATCAAAATAATCAAAGATTTTATGGTTTTTCATTTATTGAATTAGTTGATGGTTTATCAAAATTAATGGTTCGTGGTCGAACACATAAATATATTGATCAAAATCTTGTAAATATTTTATTACATATTCTTGAAAATACAACTGAAGATGTTGCTTTACTTGAATCTGTATCAAATGCAATATTAAATGCATCATTCGATGAAAAAGTTCAAACATTTCTTGATTCGGATCGTGCTATTGAAATAATAACAACAACACGAGATAATTGTCAAAGTCAACTTGTTCAAAAAAATTGTGAAGCTATTCTTTGGACAATTAATCGCATTCCTCATAGACGTAAATTGAGAAAATTATTTATTTTATTATTAGAAATTTTATTAATAGGTATTCCAACAATAAATGATCATACACGTGGATTAAAAGGTCATGTTATGATTTCATACAATCGATCAGTAACAGCAATGTGTTTAAAAATTCGAGATCGTTTAAAAGTAATCTGAGATTTTTGTTTTTTTGATAATTTTATATAATTTAAAAAAATATTGATTAGGCTTTAAACTATAGTGTATGGCTTGATGTTGATAATATAAATGGAGGAGTTTTAGAAGCTATGGCTGATGCTGTGGAACATTCATCGATTGTATTGATTTGTATGAATGAACAATATAAACAGAGTTATTATTGTCGACTTGGTTCGTTTCTTTTATAAATAATTTTTATTTTTTTTTATTTTTGTCTCTTCTTTTAGAAGCAGGTATGAATTGAAATCTGGTATTAGTTTTACTAAGTATATAATTTTATTTTTTATTAAATAAAATAACAGAATATGCAACAGAATTAAGAAAACCATGTATTCCTTGTTTAATGCAACCACGATTTCGACCATATGGATGGGTAATTCTTTACAAATATAAATTTAATTTAATTTTTCTTCATCACTGCTTTTTTTTATCTAGCTTGGAATTATCAAAGGAGCAAAAATTCATGTTGATTTTGCTACATTACCGTACGAAATATTATTTTTCTTCTATAACCAAAAAAAGAATATTTTTTGAAATAGTTTTGAAGAAGCATTTGCTTTATTAATTCGTGAAGTTGAAACTATCAAAGGAAATAGTACATCAATGACTAATGATAAATTAGTTCATCGTCCACATGGTGTAGGATTTTCTACTATTGATACTATAAATAATAATCGTAATGGTATGTATTACATTTCTAAAAATACAAATATATATTATTTCTCTGTATAAAAAGACTCGAAACAAAATCATACAATAATCCCATCTCGTGAATTACCAAATAGTATTGCCGATTGGGATACAATAGCAGTTAAACAATGGCTTGAATCAGTTGGTTTAACACAGTAATTAAACTGAGATAAAAGGATTAGTTTTTATTAAAAAACAAAATTCTATATTTAGTTTGGAACGTGCTTTTACGAATATTGATGGTAAATTACTTTGGCGTTTATATCAAATGAAACAATTCGCTGCTGATTCTTATTATAAATTTCTTGACAAATATTTTGATCGTATACAAATAGCACATATGAGTGATACATTAAAATTTGATCATGAGCTTGATTGCCTTTTTCTATAAACAAAAACAAATTCTCGTCTTTTTATTTTATAATAATATTATTTTGTAATTAATTTTTTCCATTCATTATTCATTTTATTAGTATTAATGTACATGTCTTAAAGATATTTCCAATAAATAAAATTGACACATTTATTTCGAAATAAAAAAAAGAATTTTAATAAAAATATTGGTCATTAAAATATCAAAGAGTATTTATATATAATACTTGTGATGATTAGATCAAAAATAAAACAACGACAACTAATCAAATTTAATACGAATCTATAATTTTATTATGGTTTCTTTCATTCGATCATCCAAATATATTAGATCAACAAATTTAAGCGAACTTTTCAATCACACAATTCATATATGAATATATCTATTTTTGACTTTCGATGATGTCAATAATAGATTTAATTAGTATTTTAATTAAAAATATCATTTCGAAGATAGAAGATTTTCTATTAATAGAAAACAAAACATATATATATAATATTGATTTGACTTATTTATTGTAATTTTTAATTAAACACTAAGCAATCGTTCAAGTGTATATAATTTATTATCGCCTAAAATTAATTGAACATATCGATCAGATATTCTATAGGGATTCGAGAGAAACAGAGAGTACTTTTTCTTTTTCTCTCAACGTATTGTAATTCTTGATGATGAAGAAGAGAGTTTATTTAGGGATATCATTTCATCTTTCTACATTGCATATTTTTACAGTTATCTAATAGAGTCAGACGCATATCATAGCGACATCCTTTCAACCTAATCAACATCATCAAAGATGACTTCTTAACCAATCAACAATTTATGTCATTTTTTTTATGTGGCCTGAGAGAAATAATCATCTAAGCATTCGGTTCTATAGTTTTCCAGGAAAGAATTGCATCCTATGTTGTTTTTTTTTTCATAAATAAACATTAATAACTATGAGACAAAAGAATAAGGTATTAAACGATTAATGCATAGAATAATTTCTAGAGTATAATGTCCCTGTATTTTGATGAAAATATATTAGATTATCAAAATTGATGAGTTATCAAAGTCATTTTAATAAATAACGGAAAACTGATTGATACATAAAGCTGTTAATGAAAATGATTAATGTCTTGTTCAATTAATAGTAAAAACCATTTGAGTATAAGACTTCTATACACTTTTACTACATAATGTATATATATATTTTTTTATCTATCCACGATGGATGGGTTGGCTTGTTGTTGTTATTTTTCTGTCATTTTTTTAGTACTTGTCTCTTTCTCGTTCTGTCGCTCGTTGACATCTTTCATTAGCTAAACAAGCAGGAGCTCTAAGTTTGTAGCACGATTTTTTTCCCGTTGCCTTCGATTATCTAGCATCGATCGTGTGTATGTGTATATAAGAAAGAAAAGAAAAGGGCTATATAAATCTCTTGAGATGAGCAGTCTTTCTTCTTCTCCTTCTTTTTTTCTTTTGCTGTCAATACTTGCACAAACATCCTATTTTTTCCTATTATCAATTGCTTTAGTTTTTAATAAGAGTGATGAAGAGTACCAATAGTTAGCACACATAGTATTCTCGTAGAAATAACATACGACAAACGCATTTATTTTATTATAGTGCGTTAGTTTTGAAAGAAGATACAAATAGTTCCAGAATTATGTCATCTATTGATCTTTCTCATTAATTAAACCTTGATGGTGAGTGTGGATGTCAGTATTGAGTGTGGTTAATGTAGAGAAGGAACCCACACTCTCAATATATATGCGAAATAAGAAATATCGTAAGACTTTTCTCACATCTAGTATAAGTACATGAAAATATTACATTAAATATCATAAGAATTTATGAAAAATTCGACAAAAGTATATAAACAATTATTTTAAAATCATGTTGATGATATGAACAAATAGAAATCATTTGAAGAATATAGTTTTTAAAAGACTCTACTAACTCATGCAAATAGATATTTGTCGTCATATTTGTCTGAAGAAATATTTTTCAATACTCTTATAATCATTATATTATATACATTTGAGTAAATATTCCACTTACAAAATTTACCAACATAAAAAATTGTGATGTAACTTTTGATTTTCGCCATTAGAAAGGTAAAATGATCAAATAGTTGCGAGTAAAATACTTGTAACTGCTGAGCTGTTGAAACTATAACAATGTGAGCTTCGAACAATTTCACAGCTGGCGTTTTCGGTGCACATCAGACAACTGACGATTGTAGAATGTTCTAGCAAAGTCAATTAAAATTTAGATACTATCTTTTCGAAATGGTACAATTATTGATATATCAATTCATTCCATTAAGAGAAAACGTTTATGATTACAATACTTATCAATGGCTCATTTTATTTTGAAATATTGCATCACACACTAGATTAAATACAATTCAAAATAAATGCGGAAACTTCGGATTTTATCCGAGAGTTATGTCTACTGCAAAAAGTGTCTATGGAAATCATAGGGCAATATCAAGATTTTTCAATAATCCGAGAATGGCTCATCCAGTTAGGCTCAACTTCGAACTCAATCGAGATCTTGATGAGACTAAAATGTGTAGAAAATTTCATTAAAATCTACCTCTTCTTTCAAAAGTCACCGTGTATACGATCGGACGAACACAACGATTGATTCAAGAGTGTACTCATTTCTTGAGTACGTAGAAAGGCTAACTATTTTCCATAACTAGTTATCTAGTTGTTGAATAAATCCTTACTATCGATTAAATAATATAGCTATCAAAAATGCGTTTTTTTTGTTATATTAACGAAAGAGAATGAAGATGGAAACGTTGATTGCCTATAAAGAACACCTTTATTTCTTTTCCGCACACAATATTACCTTGATAAAAAATGAGCCAATCCAGCGGTTGATTTGACTGCATTTGTAGGGAAAAGCGAAGAACGAGTGTAATAGAAAAGAAAAAGGAACATATCTACTGTAAATGTCACAACATTAGCAGCCAATCTACTGTTCTCAATTCACATCATGAAGTTTGTCTGTCGTTCATAAATAATAAATCCTTTGGAGTTTTAGATGTTTCTGCGACAATACATTAATTTAATAAATTAAACGAATATAAATGGCTTTATCATATATTGTATATAATTTATTTTTATTCTCCATTGTACATTCAAGTAAATTTCATATTAATTTTTTTTTGTAATATTAAATTAGAATAATTTTGTTTATATTTTATTAGTTCCAATGCCACCAACTATATTAAATGAACCGAATTCGGAAATTATTTTTGATTCACGTATTAACCTTGAATTACCATGTTTAGCACAGGGTAATCCAACTCCGACGTATTCATGGACTAAAAATGGGCAATTGTATGGGATAAATGCACAAAATAATCGTGTTACTATGTCAAGTGATTCAGGGACATTAAGTTTTTTACAACCCGAAAGTCTTGATCAAGGATGGTATCAATGCAATGCAACAAATGATTTAGGTGGAAATCATCATAAATATTAAAAAATATTCTCATGTTTAATTATTTACTTTTTTTTAATTATTAATATAGGTACTGTATTAACACGTAAAATTCATGTACGTTTAGCTGAACTTGGTGCTTTTCCTACACAAGATAGACCTTCGATAATTCAAGTACGACGTGGTGATTCATTAACAATTCCATGTAAACCACCAATTGCTATACCTGATCCAGATGTATATTGGACAGATAATACGAATGTAGCTAATCAATTTGGTTATCGTGTATCAAATCCACGTATACAACAAGATTCTGAAGGTTTGTTTTGAATTTGTTCAGCTTCTGGATTTTTATCTAATGAAATTTTTTGTTTTTCTAGGAAACCTTTATTTTCTTAATGTAAAAGATGAAGATGAACAAAAACAATATGTATGTAATGTTTTTTCACGGAAATTAAATATTATTCGTCGTGGAGTAATAACACAATTAAAAATTATTAAATCCGATCCAATTGATCGTATGCCAAAAAGATTATGGGCAACAGACGCAAATAAAATTGTTTTAAAAAGTCAAACATTATCATTAAAATGTATTTTCGATGGTTTACCAACACCCGGTGTTGTATGGAGAAAAATATATGGTAACCTACCTGAAAAACGTTCATCAATTAATTTAGAAAAACAAGAATTAATTATTACGGATATTCAATATGAAGATGCTGGTATTTATGAATGCCGAGGACATAATGGTAAAAAAATTTTTTTTGTTTTGTTTTTATATTTACTTTTTGTATTTTAGAATTGGGTTATGATCTTTTTAGTATAAATGTTCAAGTTGAAGCTGCTCCATATTGGATAGAAAAACCAGAAGATATAAACATAGGAGAAGGTGAAACAGTTGATGTAATTTGTAATGTAGATTCTCGACCAATAGAACAAGATATTCAATGGTTTATAAATGGTATTCCATTACAAGATAGACGTATTCCATATAATCCACGTCGACGTGTTCGAAAAAATCGAATGATTATACAAAATGTAACAAAATCTGATACAGCAGTTTATCAATGCAATGTTTCTAATATACATGGTTATGTTTTTACAAATTTCTTTGTGAATATCATCTGTAAGTCTTCTTGTTTTCAGTTCATTCTTCTTCTTCTTTTTTGACTATTAAAATCGCTAACCTTTTTTTTTTCTCTTTTTTCTTAGCGGGAAAACCAGAAATTCAACGTGGACCGGAAGCACTTTATCGTGTTGTGGAAGGAAAAAATGTCGTTTTACCGTGTGAATCATTTGGTATACCTACGCCTAAGGTCTATTGGCGTAAACGTGATCGAATACTTACTAGTGGGAGGTATGTAATTGATTGACATTCTTCCGTTTTCCTTTTCTATTATCTATTCATATTATATATAAATATCCGTACATAAGTATGTCTATTACATTATCAAGCATTCCAATCGGTATGAACTAATTAAAATAAAATGGCTAACGCTTTTCTAACAAACATTTTTAGTCCTTATGCTTTTAATTTTAATACAACTTGAAAGAAAAAATTAGTTTAATGTTTTTTTTCATTTAATTAGATACTCTGTCTCAAAAGATGGTAATTTAACTATTCGAGATGTAACAATATCTGATAATGGAATTTATATTTGTAATGCAACAAATAAATTTGGTTCAGCTGTTCGTAATACAACATTAAATATTAAAAAGAAAACACGTATACAAACACGACCAAATAATTTAGAATTACGACGAGGTACAAATGCTATATTTCAATGTACAGCTACGGCTGATGATTCATTAAAATCTAATATTGATTGGTATAAAGATGGTCAATTATTAACTTATACAGGTCGATTTATTAAAGATATAACAGATCCAAATACATTAAAAATTGTTGATGTACAATTTGATGATGCTGGTTCATATATATGTCGTGCACATACAGAAATTGATTTTGATGAAGCAAGTGCAACATTAATTGTACAAGATCGACCAAATAAACCTAAGATAACTAAAATTAATTGTAATGGATCGATAAATCAACCATTTGCTGTTGTTCAATGGGAAGCAACAGGTTAAAAATACTACTTGACTTTTTATTTGTTTATTTTAGAAAGAAAATTTACATTTTAGGTGATAATTTTGCACGAATATTATATTATGAATTACAATATAATACATCATTTCAAATTAATGATTGGATATCTGTACCAATTGAACAACGACGAGAATCTTTTAACGAAGTTAAATCACGAGATGGTTCGATTAAATTAGAACCGAAAATTACAAGTAAGAAAGAACAAAAACAAGATTATAAATAAATAAATAAATATATATTCTAGCTTTTAAAACAACACATCTTCCATCAAATCAATATAATTTACTTGTATCATTATCATGTTGGGCAAATTATACGTTTCGTGTTATTGCTTATAACCGTGTTGGCGCAAGTGATCCAAGTCCTATATCAGAATCCATGTGTACAACAACAACATGTCGACCAAAAACAAATCCTCTTGGTGTTAAAGCTTCGGCAACACAATCTTCACCATTATTAATTGAATGGGATGTAAGACAGAGAAAAAATAAATTTCTTTTTTTTATTTTGTAAATAAATCTTTAAATAGAGTATACCTGCAATAAAATGGGGTGCACCAAAATTTTGGTATGAAGTTGGTTGGCGTCAATTGCCAACAGATAAAAAACCTGACACATTTTTAACTGAACGAGTAAATCCACCACAACATCAATTTTCTATACCAAATCCAGTTTTGAGTATGCGATATGAATATTATGTTAAAGCAGTAAATCAACAACCAGGAGGTAAGTGTTATATAAGAAAAATTAATTGATGAATAAATTGTTTTCCTCTAAATTAGAAGTCAATAGTACGGATGCTAGTGAACCTCCAGTATATAATACCGCTTTTGCTGGTGATTCAGGTAATATTTATAAAAAATTTTGTTTATCTTCTAATTCATTTTATTTCAGATCCAACATATGTTCCACGTAATTTTCGTGTATTACATATGCTTGATAGTAGAACAATACAATTTGCATGGGATCCACCATTACCAGCTGATGAAGTTAATATTCGTGGTGTTATTAAAGCTTATCAGGTTTTATTTGATTTCTTTAGTTTTGTTTTTCATATATAATAAATATAAATAGATTGAAATGTATCGACTTGATGATCCAAATAATTCACGTCGTACTGTATCAGGTATATTACCAAATCAAACTTGGACAACTGTTTATAATGCACCACCAAATGCAGATGTTGGTGCGACTATTTGTATTGAAACAGAACGATTTTTTGGACCAGAAAGTCCTCCTGTATGTATTAAATAGATATATATATTCTTAATCAATAATAACAATTGATTATTTCTTATTAAGATTCAATTTCCTACACGAGAAGGTCCACCAGGGCCTGTTATGAATTTACGTGCTGTACCTTATACTAGCAATGGAATTTTTTTACTTTGGGATCCACCAGAAGAAACAAATGGTGTTATAATTGGTTATCAAATTGATTATAAAACTCTTGAAGGGTATTTATTTCATAAATAAATAGCTAAGAAAAAAAATTTGTTTTTTGTTTTTTTTATCAAGTATTGCTTCTCAACCTGATATTGATCAACCTTCAATATTACTTCGTGATGATACTCGTCGTAATTATATTCTTGGTAGTCTTAAACCAAATACAAAATATCGTGTTCAAGTACGTGCACGAACATCAATTGGTTTATCAACAAGTCCATCTATTATTGAGCTTACAACAAATATTAGTGTTGGTAAATAAGATCAAAAGAATTCTGTCGTTTTTTCTTTCTTTATACTATTTGTTTTAGTTCCATCAAAACCAACATTTACAGTCACTTATCGTGGAACAACATTCTTTAATATTTCCTTTGATCCCACAACTATGGCAGTTCCTGGTAGTGTTTATTATGTAGAATATAAAGAAAATGATAAAGGTTTGATAAATAATAAAAAAATCAAAATTCTATTTTTTCTTTTTGCAGAAGGTCAAGCCTTATTTAAAAAATCTTATGTTGTATCAAATGAACGAAATATTCTTATTAATTCACTTGAACCGAGTAAAACATATACAACAATATTAATTGCTGGTGATGGTATTGATAGTGAAGTTAAAAGTGATCCACAAATGATTACAACACTTAGCAAGGGTATGTATGTTTTCGTTTGAAAATTCCTTTTGTAATTTTTTTTTAAATTAACTAATAATTGTAATAGTACCAGATGTGATATAGAATGACATAGGAAATCATCATTATTATTGCCTCTTAACTGTAACGGATGTCGATAGACGATAGACGAAGGAGAAGAAGAAAAACTGAGAAATACAACTGAGAAGAATAATCAAAGCAAGAAGGATAGAAGCAAAAAATATAATAGAAGAAAGAACTGAGAAAAAAAGCTAGATGATAATGCTTCCGTTATGGGTTATAACATCGATGCGAAGAGAGAGAGAGAAAAAAAAAGAAAAATCATGTACAATACTCATGCTATCTTAGATTTGGTGGTTATATGAGATAAAAGAAGAATCAGGAAACGAAGAGATAGAAAAAAAAAGAAGAAAGAAAGAAAGAAATGCTAGATGCACAAACATAACTATAACCAACAAGGCGACAACGTTATTACTTGTGATTCGATAAGTGTTAAATAATCGATGGATCGTATTCGTTCGAAGTCTAATAATATATACATGTACATATGATGGATGATAAATGAGTGGCCTACCATTACAATATTCAACATTTTCGATCGAAAATCGATCTGTATCAGAATTATTTCATTCTAATGATACATTCGATCGAAATTGTACAACGATTGAATGTTTTGGTAGGTATCTAACCTTTGATTATATATATACACACACACATATCATATGATACCAACAAAAAAAAGAATTATCAAAGTTAACATTATAAATGAGTTGTATAATGAAGTCAAAATAAATCTTCATATCAATTAATAAAGATCTATAGTACTAATAACTATTCCAGATGATAAAAAAATAATGAATAAGTTAATTGAAGTAATTTTTCCTTTTCTCTTTCTATTGTTTAGATCGTACTCCTCAAGTAATTAGTTCGCCTTGGTTCATTGGTCTTATCGTTGCAATTATTGTACTTCTTATAATTATTGCTATTGTTTGTGGTATTATGAAACGTAAAGGTGGTAAATATTCCGGTAAATAATTGGATTTTTTTATTCTTTTTTGTAATTTATAAATATATCTAAGGAACATACAAAGGTATATAGTTTATATCTTCTCCCATTTGATTTGCATGAGTTATATTAGAAAAGTATAAGTGTGCATTCTTTTTTTTTGTATATTTTCTCTTATAGATGGTGTAGATGGCAAATCAACCCCATATAATTCTGTCCAGAGAAGTAAAAAACCGAAAAAAAAAAATCTATTGTTTTTATTCCGGAATAAAAAGCACTTTTTTTTTTTGTTATTTTCTTATTCTGTTTGCCTTTGCCTTTTATTCTATCTTGACTTCTCTCTTATGCATTAACTGATGAGATATACGCAAGACGCGCGTCGCATGTTAGCTAGATTTGGAGAATGTCGATGTTTGTGTTGCTGTTCTTGTCATTGACATTGATAATGATAATATTTCTTTCCTTCTTTTCTTCTTTTTATACTCAAAGATAATAAGAAAATTCTATGATTAAACGAATGATTTTCTTATATATATTTTTTTTTGTTTTTTTTAGTACAAGATAAAGAAATGTTACATGGACCTACTGGATATGGTGGAGATGATGAAGCAAAATTTTCTGAATATTATCGATCGTATGAAATAAAAAAAAAATTTTAATTAATTTTGATTTGTTTTTTTTTGTTGTTGTTGTAGACCGGGTGATGTGTCAATAAGACATAGTCGAACATCATTAAATAATGGTGATGATCGTGATTCAATGGCAGAATTTAATGATGAAAAAGATCGCGGTCGATTTACAGAAGATGGATCTTTCATTGGACAATACGGACGTGATGATAAACGACGTACTTATCTGATTAAATATGATGAAAGTATAGGTTTTACCAATGATAATCCAACTAATGATCAAGCAACATTTTCATCTCCTGTGTAAAAAAATAATATTTTTCACGTCTTCGTTTTTCTTTTCTTTGTACAAAAAAAACAGAAAAAGAATAATTCGTATTTTCATTGTTGAAAACGGAATATTTTAATCATTTTCCTCTCTCTTCTTTTTTTTCTTCTTTTTTAAATTTTAATATTACAATTATGAATGTGTCATCACAACAAGCATTTCTGTGTACAAATGCAGATGAAAATTTAGATTAGAACATTCTCTCTATTTATTAGGTAATCGAAATTCTTCTTCTTCTTCTTTTCTCTTGTGTTTTTTTTTTGATTCACTATCGTTTGTTTGCTTGTTTTCTTTTTTCCTTTGTTATATACAAATATTTTGTGCACACACACACACACACATACATATGAAAATTGATGAAGTTTTTTGTTCTTTAAAGATAAATATTGCCATGAAATTTTTTCAGATGTAATTAATACATTTTGACTAAAATACATATATAGAATAGTTTTGAAGTGAAAATATCAAAAGAAAATTTCTGTTTAACATATGTACAATATGATTAGATAAAATAAATAACAAGTTGTACAAGATATGATATTGATATTGACTGATGGATATAGGAAACAGATGTGTGTGTGATATACTGTAGTTAGATTCTTATATTTGAATAGATTATTATTATTATTATTATTCTCAATGATACAAAACATGATTGATTTGCTAATCATACAATTGAATTTGAATTTGATTGAGTAACAATGAAGCTTTCATAGAAAAGAATGATCAATGATGAGGCTTATAATATAATGTAATCATGAAAAATTCGTAGTTATTGAATATCTAGGGATAGTTAAAGAATGTATGAAATGATGTTTTCTTCTTAGAATACGTGACACTGATCAATTGAGAATAAGTATAATAGATTTTATCATTTCTTCGACATGTTTATCTAGTAGTATCGATCCATTAGGTGTTGACATGTTTATATATTTGTCGGAGTATCAATAGCACAACATCACGATCTGATATGTATATATATCGATTGTGATTTATACATATAAATCACATTACTTGTAATTTCAATTCTTAATTAGTCTTCTGTAACTAATAAAAATGTCAACCAATCATTCAAAAGCATCTATTCTTCAGTAAGTAAATTATCTTTATTAGATATTTATTCAAATTAAATAGATGTAAAATATGTACGAAAGAAATTTCATCCGATGAGAAATATTTACATGATGGTGAAAGTGTTGTTCATATTCAATGTTATCAATGTTCAAATTGTCATATATCACTTGCGGGAAAATTTTATTATCGTTATAAAGATCCACGTTCAAATGACGAAAAAAAACTTTATTGTGATTCATGTTATTATCGTCTAGCACCTGTTTGTTTTCAATGTTTGAAAATCATTGATGATATTTCATTAATCTATGGTGAACGTATATTTCATCCTCATTGTTTTATTTGTGATCATTGTCAAGAAGCATTTAAAGGTAATCTAGTTTATCCATATGAAAATCATATTTATTGTTTTAAATGTTATGAAATTGTTCAAAATGATTTTCATCCAATTTCATCAATTATTTTAACATTAAGATGTTCGATATGTAAAAAAATTTTTCAACCAGGTGATCTTATTACTAAACATGATGTACCATCGAATAATAACGAGATTCATTATATACATAATTCGTGTTTTTTTTGTGAAATTTGTCATCGAAATTTATCGAATTCAATTTATTATTCACCAAATAGACATGATGAAAATTTTCAAGAACTTAAATTTCAATGTAAATCATGTCATGATTTATTATCAACGATATGTTCTGTAAGTTAATTTAATAACAAAAAAATTCAATAAAAATATTATTTTGTAGATTTGTTTTAAACCATCGGATAATTTAATGATTATTTTTAATAATCGATGGTATCATGATGAATGGTATAGAAATAGATTTAGACTAATGAATTAAATTTTTCTTCATTTAGTTTTAAATGTAAAAATTGTAATTATAAATTGAAGGATTTAACACGGATTATTATTGAACCAGATGGATTATTATGTGAACGATGCTTGAGATATATGCGTGATCAACAGCAACAACAAATATAAATGTCAAATGCATGAATAATTTCTCCTATGTTATTTCTTCATCTTTCTTTTTGTTTATTCAATTGCATTTCTATTCATTAGAGTAATATTAAATAACAATAGAAAAATAATAACGTAAAAAATGAGTACTGATGTAATGTTATATTATCGATATCGAATAGTCGGAATAACAAGATATTTTTATGTAACTAGCTCTTGTTTTAAATAAAAGTATTCATGTAAGAGATTAGTGATCTTCTTTTCTGTTGTGTAAATACATGGTTGATGGATATGATGATTTGCTACTAATTCACTTATCAGATAGAACTGTAAATATTTATGTTTCTTTATCGGTCAATGCTCATTACAATACATCGATATTCCTTTTGTTGCTCTTTAGTGAATATAAATAGAGATCAATCAGTAAATGTTACATTTCATAAAGAACGAATATCTACTATGAAATAGTTATCTATATTTAGATCAAAATTAATTAAAAATCATTCATCGGAAAATAAGATTTTCTAGCGCAATGTTTTTGCGTATTTTCATGTTTATTCAGAACATATTAATACCAATTATTTCCCTAATGGAAAATACTTTTAAAAGACGATCACTCCTTCTGATAAACCATGTTTTCAGTATAAAATATCCAGGCTTGACATTGATTGCTATCTGTAAAGTTTCTCATATTACATCATAATTAATCTTATGAAATGAATCTTCCTTTTATTACACATGTATACAAAAAAAAAGTAACACAGCATTTTATCTATTATATATAATTATTAAAAAAAAAATTTCATGTCACAATTCACTAATGAGATCATAAGTTAGTCCTGCTTTTTGTAATTTATGAGCTGCTGTTATAAACATTATTTGAGTTTTTGTATGCCAAACATAAATCTAGAATTACAAATAATTTTTTATATATAAAATTTTTTTTGTTAATACTTTGGAAGCATTATTAGCTAAACATTCAAGTTGATCTTGAGTTGTCATTGTATCAAGTATTTGAGATTCTTGTTGACCAATACTAGTAGCACTTACATTAAATATATAATTTGAATATTTATGAATAAGATTTAAATGAATTGCAAATCCAGCCATATCAGTTGGAAATTTTCGTTTTCGATAGATAAAATGAAACCATGAATGAACCTATTATTCAATATTATATAAAACAGAAAAAGATTTATTTCTTACTTTTCCATTTAAACATATTGGACGTTCATAGAGAAGTTCACCAACAAGTCCAACTGGCCAAACACCAACAGATTGAACTTTTCGAATCTATAACAATAAAAATTCATGATAATTTAATTCTATATTTATAACTCATGTACTGACCAATTAGTTTATTACCTCTTGAAATAATTTCCAATGATATGTATTATCATCATCAGCAAAATAGACAAGTGCATCATCATTTCTATTTGTATTTGAACGAATCCATTGAAGAGCAATATTCTTTTGAAACATACCACGAGGACGACGCCATGTTGATTGATTTTGTGTTGGTTTTAAATAATCTGGTGTTGCAATATTTAAATGAACAAATGGTAAATGAAATGATTGAAGTAAACGATGTATGCGTTGAGTTGGTTTTATTTCATCTTCGATAATAATCCAAAATAGATTTGGAACTAAATAAAGTGTTTGTGCAAGTCGTGTTAAATCAGCAATTTGTTCAGCTCGTGTTTTCGTTGGTGTTATCATATAAATTTTACGTATTGATAATGGATCATTCCAACTTTCTCGAATAGGTTCATTTAAACCTGGATATAATTCTAATAATTGTTCCCATGGTTTAATAGTTTGTTTATTATCTGTATTTTTCACTTAAACATAATAAAAATTAATATATAAAACAAATTTAAACTAGAAAATATATTACGATAGATAATCAAGAAAATTGTTATTAGGAGATATAACACAATGAATATAAAAATAATTGAATATGATGAACGAAAACGATGAGATTTTATATACATTCTTATTTGATCAGTACAGAAAACATTGATAATAAGTGAAAAGTGATATGTACAATCAGTTGATAAAAAATCACCAAATTCGATAAGGTAGCACATTGGCTGTCATATTATAGGTTTCAATAGATGTCCCTTGTAATAAGTTAGTCTTCACAGAGATTAACTAATAATAGCACTTAAAATGTATTTTAGATAAAAATAAGAGTAGAATACGAAATAGTAAAACAAAGATGATTATTCCATTTCCTTTTTTTTTTCTTTTACTCTTTAAATATAATAAGAAGAATATAAATGTAAGCGTAATATCTTTTCTTTCACTTATTTTTGCACTACAACATACAAGAAGATTATGTTTTTTTATGAAAAATTTGGTGATTGGGCGACGGTGAGACATGTCTGTGGGCGCTCAGCCATATCCGAACCTTGAGCCGCCGCTACAAACAATGACTGAATGATTGCTAAAAATATCGAAGAGAAGAACAAAGAACTGTTTTGATGTATATTATCTATATCGAATCAAATAATTTCTTTTAACTCATTTTGCAAAGATTTTGTCAATTTGAAGTGATCATGTCGCTATGATATTATATTGACTCTGTAGATAAGAAACATACATTATTGTCTACATCTATAAATGATATATTTAATGTTGTTTCTACTATAGGAAGACTTATTTTTATTCAGGCAAATATTTTCCTTCTTTGTTTTTTCTCCGTTTTACTTATATGTATCAAATGACAGTCTAGTTCGAGTCATCTAAATTTTTATAGACATACTGATGAAAAAATCAATTTTTACATCACAAGCACAATTGTATTTCAATGACAGATTACCAATAGAAATGTATCTCCAACCTCTCTTCCGTACAATGAACGAATAGAATAATTTATTGAGTAAGACTGGACTGTAATTCATCCAATAGTAAAATGATGTTAAAGTATATATGCATTGTTTGTTTTCTAAAGTAACTCAGCCAGATCAATTTTTATTTCATGAAAATTTTATACTATCAAAAAAATTGAATTAATAATTTCTACTGTGAATAAAGATCATATTTATATTTGTCTTCGTATTATTTATAATATTTAATTTAAAATTATAGATCTTTTTATATTAAATAATAATAAAAAAATGACTGCAGTAGTAGAAGATACTCCAGTTGTTATACCGAAAGAAGTTTGTTTATATTTAATTAATTTTAATCATTTTTTAAATTGTATTTCTAGGATGAAACAAGTCGAACTTTTCATCAAAATTATGCACTTTCATCTCAGTATGAATCACTTGATAGTGATGATTTATATACAAAATATAAGGTTTTAAATTTCAAATAAACATCTATCAATTTTATTTAATTTTTTTTAAAGAAACTTCAACGTCAACTTGAATTTTACGAAGTACAAGAAGAATATGTTAAAACCGAATTAAAAAATTTAAAGAAAGAAATGTTACATGCACAAGAAGAAATCAAACGTATTCAAAGTGTTCCACTTGTTATAGGACAATTTCTTGAAGCAGTTGATCAAAATACTGGTATTGTTGGTTCAACTACAGGTAAGATTTCTTCTCTAATAAAATATCATATATCATTTGTTTTCAAGGTTCAAATTATTATGTTCGAATTCTATCTACTATTGATCGAGAACTTTTAAAAACTGGTGCTAGTGTTGCTTTACATAAACATTCAAATGCACTTGTTGATATTCTTCCGCCAGAATCGGATAGTAGTATATCAATGTTACAAGCTGGTAAGAAAAAGAAATTATCTATTATTTTATATTATTTGTTGATGATGAATTTCAGATGAAAAGCCTGATGTTGATTATGCAGATATTGGTGGATTAGATTTACAAAAACAAGAAATTCGTGAAGCTGTAGAATTACCATTAACACATTACGGTAAATTTGTTTTATTGAAAATAAAATAATATATTTATTTTTCTTATAAAGAATTATATAAATTAATTGGTATTGATCCACCTCGTGGTGTACTTATGTATGGTCCACCAGGTAAATTAAATAATTGTTTTTTATTCTTATGTATATATTTTTAAAAGGTTGTGGTAAAACAATGTTGGCTAAAGCTGTTGCTCGACAGACAACTGGTAAGAAATTTTTTAATATCTGAACATTTAAATTTATTATTTTTATATTTTTAGCTGCATTTATTCGTGTAGTTGGTTCTGAATTTGTTCAAAAATATCTTGGTGAAGGTCCACGTATGGTACGTGATGTATTTCGTCTTGCTAAAGGTATGAAAAACTAATCAATATATTTCCTTTAAAAATATTTTAATAGAAAATTCGCCTGCCATTATATTTATCGATGAAATTGATGCAATTGCTACAAAACGTTTCGATGCACAAACAGGAGGTTTATTTATTTTGTTTAATTTAATAAAAAATTAAATAAATTTCTTTTATTATTAGCTGATCGTGAAGTACAACGTATTTTACTTGAATTACTCAATCAAATGGATGGTTTTGATCAGAGTGTTAATGTTAAAGTAAGTTGTTTTACCAGAGACGATTTTATTTTTTATTGTAATTTTGTATTAAAAAGGTTATAATGGCAACCAATCGTGCTGATACACTTGATCCAGCTCTTCTTCGTCCTGGACGATTAGATCGTAAAATAGAATTTCCCTTACCTGATCGACGACAAAAACGTTTAGTATTTTCAACTGTAACCGGTAGAATGAATTTAAGTGATGAAGTTGATTTAGAAGATTATGTTGCACGTCCTGATCGTATATCGGGTGCTGATATTAATTCAATTTGTCAAGAAGTATGTGATTATTTATTTATTTATTTTATTTATCTTATTTAATATAGGCTGGTATGCAAGCTGTACGTGAAAATCGTTATATTGTCTTAGCCAAAGACTTCGAAAAAGCTTATAAAAATGTTGTTAAGAAGAATGAACAAGACTTTGAATTTTATAAGTAATCAAAACTTAATAAAATTTGTCATATGATGATAATGGTTGTAGAACTCATTCTTTTATTTAAATGATTAAATGTATTCTCGACAAAAAAAACACGTTTTTCTTGTTTATCTTTTTTTTACTACTACTACTACTACTGTTCAATTTATTATTCTAGATCTCATATTTTTTTTACTTATTGTGTGTGTAAAAGAAAATGTCGAAAGCCAATGGTAATAATCGAATAAGTGCATTAAAGCGTCTTGGTAAATCATCTTCAATAAATAATATTAATCATCGTCAAACAATTGGATTAAATAATTCATCGGTCAAAGATGCACGAGAATTATTAATAAATCGAACTATATCATCAACATTTGATGCTAGACAAATGTTCAATCGTCAATCATCACAAACATTTAGTACAATGCCTACAAATATTATTGTACGAAATACAGAAGATATTAATAATAATAATGAAAAAATGGTTGTTGTTACAGGACTTAAAGACATGAAAATGAAAGATGGACGTGTAAATAACAAAGATAGATTGAGAAGAAAAAAATTTCATTTCATTTTTTTTTCTAGCTTATTCAAGCAGCAACAACAGATAATAATCAATCTGGAAAAAAGAAACAAATTTTTGCAGTTGGTCAATCTACTTTTGTTACTATTCGTAATAATAATAATAGTAATAATAATAATAATATTAATTTCAGTTCGAATCAATCGACTGAAAAACTTTCTTTCACTAAAGTAAATTACTTTTCTTTTATTTATTATTCACTAAAAATAAAGTTCACACCTCTGTTTTTTAGACAATTACGAATACATCTGTTAATCGTAACGATGATAATGATAATACTCAAACGACAAATACTTTTTCTTCTCTATCGAATCAAAAAGTTGTTATTAAAGTTGTCAATGATAAATATCAAGAAGCTCCTAAACCAATACAAATCTCAACAACAACAACAGCAGTCCCAGCTCGTTCACACTCGTTATATACTCGCCAAAATTCACCTCCACTTATCAAACGTTTACATGATGTTTCTATTCAAACAACGCCTCCACCATCTTCATCTCGATCACCTATTCGAATAAATTCTCATCGACGTCTTCCATCTACTCATATAGTTGACGAAGATGAGCATATATCCGATCGTTCAATGAATGAAGATTTTTATGAACCACCAGTAAAACGTACAAGTTCAACTTCAACTTCAACTACACGAAAAACTTCTAATACAGAAAAAGAACAACAATCTACATTTACACCAGTATCTACAGGTTCTACTAAACGAACATCAACAGGTGCACCAGTTAATTCAAAACCAACATCCCAAACGTCCACTACAGTATATTTTCTTCCATTTCCATTATTTCTTTTATCCATTTATCTTATAGTCAAAACCAATATCAACTACACAATCACAAACAACTCCCGGAACAGTTTTAGTTACTAATCTTGTACCATCTGTTACAGAAGAAGATGTTTTTGTATGTTTTAGAAATAATATTATTATCTATTTTTTTATTTGTAATCTTATTCAGGAGTTATTTGGTCAAATTGGTCGTATTAATGAAATAATTACATTAAGTCCAGGATGTGTTCAAATTGTTTTTGCCAAACGAGAAGATGGTGAACAAGCTGTTTCTAAATATCATAATCGTTTATTAGATGGACAATTTATGTATGTTAGTCTTCAACGAACAGCAGCAGCACCTTCACCTTCAGTAAATCAAACGCCTAAAAGTTCAAATAATATTCCACAACCACCAGCAAAAGAAAATGCGTAAATAATTGCATCTGTTTTTGTTTTTTTTTATTCTCTTCTATTTAAATTAGATCATCAACTACGCAACAACCATCGAAATCGAATCCTGCATCTAAAACTACAAATAATACTTCACAACCACCAGCAAAAGAAAATGGGTAAATGATTTCATCTGTCTTCTTTTTTATTTTCATTTTCGTCTCTTTAAATTAGATCATCGACTAATTCTTCATCAACAACAACAACAACAAATCATCAACCATTGAAATTCAATACTACATCTAAAACTTCAAGTAAAAGTTCTCTTGATCCTGCATTTATCCGTCAAGCACTTTTTCATCCGTCGAATAATTCAACAAATCCTGTACAATTTCAAGTTAAACTTTAATAATAAAGAAACGTTTTGAACTTCAATCTGTTTTTTCTTTCATTCGGGATCATTGTTTTGTTTGTTCGGTTTTGTTTTTTTTCGCTGCATGTTTACTCATTTATCATTATGTATAAAAAAAAATACAAAAGATATTCAATTAGATAGAAATGTTTTGAGTACTTTTTCAGACAAACAAAAACATAATGTTTATTCGTAATATTCAAATACTTCGTTTGATATGTAATCAAACAAAATATAGATTGTTTTCGACAACAAATAATTATTTTAATATGAAACAAGAACATACACAACTAGTGAATAAAAAAGATCAAAATGATATTTCTCCTATTGAAAATAAATTACCTTCTTTAGCTAATTTACCATCATATTTACCAGAACCAACTGGTGTAAAATCAAAATTATTTAATGATTTTTATTTAGTATATCGATTTGGTTATCGTCGACCACTTCGATATGTTCAAGTTCTTAAACTTACACAAACAATAGCAACGTAAGTCTCGAAGGTTAGATCTAAAAACGAAACTTTTTCTTTCTAGCGCTTTGATAACACCCTATCAAATTTATAATTACAATGAAGGTTTAATACCATTATTTGAATTTCAATTATCATTATTTTTCTTAAGTCTTGCATCATTCAGTCTTTTCTTATTTGGTTGGGTTGCAACACGTACAATTTGTTTTATCTATACAAATGTTGAATGTGATCGTGTTATTTTAACTCATATAGATTTTTGGGGTCGACGTCAAAATATTGAATTAGATACACGTGATATTATACCAATAAATGATATTGAAACACCAAATAGAACATTTTTATCATTTAAACGTTATTCCGTACCTGATACAATGTATTATTCAACCAAATTTGGTCAAATACTTGATCGACCAAGATTTAATCGATTATTTGCTGGTATAATAACACAAGATACAAAAAATTGGTGGTAGATATTATTATTATTCGTAATAGTCAAAGTCGTTTGTATTGAATGAATTTATTTTTAAATAAAAAGAAACTACAAATAAAACTAATATATATATCTATGATAATGTGTTAAAAATGTTTTGTTTTCTAATATTGATTTAATTTAATGTAGAATATGATGAAGATCTAATTATTGATTCACCATCAAATGTTTCTTGAATTTCTGTTTCATTTGTTCGAAATAAATTCTCAGCACTAATACTTAAATTTGGTATTTGTGACCATCCACTATGAGTACCAGCTAAATCAAATAAACCACTTGTACTAGTATGTAAATGTTGAAAAATGGATGGTGCAGTATGATCTTCAATACTACTTGATCGAATTGTTGTTGAATTTAAACCTGATTGATTTGTATGAAATGATGATGATGATGATGTAGTTGTAGATGATGATTTTTTCATAAGTTCATCAAGTAATCGTGAATAAATTCTAAGTTCATCTTCAATACTAAAACGTAATTCATGTGCCATATGTTCAAAACGTCCACGTAAATCATCATATTCAGTTTTAAGTCTTTCAACTATTGTTCTTTCATGAAATTGTTTTTCACGGATTTTACGTTCCATTTCATGTAATTTACCTTCTTCATCACGTAATAAACGACGTTTATCTGATAAAATTTTTGTTAAATCATTCAATCGTATTTGTTCCTTATCATAATCCTAGAATAAAATAAGATTTCAAGAAAAAAAAAATTTTTGTTCTCAAAAAACTAATTTACTTCCATAGTTGTGCGTAATTTTGTTTCTTCCATTTGTTGTAAACGATTTTTTTCCATTTCATGTATTGAAGTTTCTGATACTCCAGGCATTTGTTTAAGTTGATTTTCTACCATACGTAATTGTCCTTCAATTTGATATTCAAGTTCATCTTGAAATTTTTTAGCTTGTTTAGAATAATCACGTTTAATATCTCGAATTGCATTTGTTAATTCTTCTCGATAAAATGATATTGAATCATCTTTTGATTGATCTAATAAACGTTTCCATTCATTGATTTCTTCTTCATTCAATGCATTGACTAAATTAAGACGTTCACGTAATGATTGTATATCATCTAATAATGTTTGTTTATCAATAACTAAACGTAACCAATCTTGTAAACGTTCACGAAATTTATTAAATTCTTTTATTAAATCATCACGTGTACTTGAAGTTTCTTCTTCACTTACACGTTCACGTTGTATTATACGATTTAATTCATCTTGTAATCGATCAACAAGATTACGTAAATTATCTTGTCGACTTTTATACATATCTTGAATATTTCCATATAATGCAACTGTACGATTCATAACAGCTGTTTCTTGTTCAGCAGCACGTGAACGTACTTCATCCGTAGCACGTTTAATACCACGATCATTGATTTGATTAATTAATTGTTGTAAATCATTTTCATCACGTGGTAAAATTCCCCATTTTGAAAATTCATCTTTTAGCTGTGCTTGTAATTGTTCATTGATACGTTTTAATTGTTCAATATTGGAAAGAAAATGTGAAAAACGATCATTTAAATGACGTAATTCTTCTTTTTCTTTAACATCACGATCACGTTCACGTTGAACAAGTTCCATTGCTTTACCAACTTCTTCATTTGTTTGTCCACTTGTTGTACGACTTGATGTTCCAATGTCATATTCAAACTTTAAAACACGTTTTTCCATCTTACTTAACACACGAAAAAAGAAAATGAAAAGAAATATAAATGTATAATCGAATAAAATTCTTTTATATTTCTCTCGTATTCTAATGCGAATTTAATATCACATTAATCCTGATAGGTTACATCATAAGTGAAAAAAAATCAATCACTATTGTTTCTCATGGCATAGAGTAATTATTTTGAACTTATATATGTATTAACAATGACTAGAGTAAAGAGGTCAATCCTGATTGAAATATGAATGTTTTATAGTCAATGTCATTGTGTATGTATGTATGTACACTTCTCAATGTTTATGAGAAAAGATATAAATAAAAGTTGATTTCTATAAAAGTAGAATCTTATATACAACTAGATAATTAGTATTGTGTTAAGTCAGTCATTTTTTCTGTTTATCTCCGTTTCAGTATTGAATAGTAATCATTTTTAGAAAAAGAAATATAAATCAACAATAATAATGTTATTTTTTTGATGGTTTTTTATGCATTTTAGAAAATTTGAGATTTGCGAAAAAATAAATCTTTAGAATTTTGTATATTATTATTTAATCTGAAATGCATGAATAAATAGGTTTTTTCAAGATAATTTACTTATGTATACATCCGTAGTTTCATGTTAAAAAATAATGGTTGTAGTATATAAAAAACAATAAACGGCACATAATTTTATTAAAAAAAATCATTTCACAAATTATTTATTTTAATGCGAAAACAAACTTTTCCCTGAATACTTTACAGAGAAGCATTATCTTACTTTAAACAATATATATCATTTCTTTTTTTTACAACGTTCATTTTTTAATTACTATCAACAATTGAAATAGTCATTTGCTTCTTTATGAATGCAAAATTATTTCTTTTTTATTCCACAATAGTATTTCATATTGAAGCTATGAAGAAATTTCTTAATCTTTTTGTGACTTTTAAAAACTATTTTCAATAAAACTCTTCAATGATCGTGTACGAAACACTTTCCTTTTTCCAACAGAAAAAAATTTCTTACAATATCTCATTGTCGCACTGGAATTCATTATCTACAATAAATTACATAAGTTAGAAAAGTTTCTTCGATCTTATTTTCATCACTATTGAGTTTACAGTTTTTTCATTCCTTGGCATAATGTTTAAAGTATGCTCTATGTACGAAATTTCACAAAACTTTTTTCATTGTCTTTTCGTAATAAATTGCATACATTCATCAAACATTCATACAATGTCTGACACAAGAATATAAAAGAAAAATTAATTCGTTAAAAGTATAATATTTCTCTTTCTACCTTTACTCGATGAAAAAAAATATCGTCTACTCATTTACAGACGGCAGTAATGATGTAGACAGGCAAGAAAAAGTTGGAAAGAGTAATCATAAAATAAACTTAGATTGTTAGCTACCGTTTTGTTCACTCTTTCGGTAATATTACCAACAAATTAGTTTGCTTTATTCTGTTTCTTGCTCTTTACAATATTATTTCCAAAAGTAACTAGGTGGAGTGTGTCTTTGAGCGACAATAAAGAAAACATAAATATTCGAAGTCGGTGAAAAATCAAGAGAAAACAAGTCATTGTCAATATAAAGAGGAACGGGGATCTTTCTTTTCATTCAAACAATAACAAATCATAGCAAGATCAGAATGAATAAATCAAAATCAAATCAAAATGCCGATGCATCACCTAAATCAACGACATCATCAAATATTCGACAACCACGACGACGTATGGCTCAAAACTACCTTCTCCTATGGGTAGATACCGGCAACGAACAAACGAACGAAGATTATGAAAATACATTAAAACAAATACAAACTATTACTGGTGATGTCAATGTCTTTACACAACGAGATGCATGCATCGACTTTCTTACAGATGCTCAAGAAGACATCAAGTCTTTTCTCGTTGTCAGGGATACTATGCTTGAACAAATAATTCCCCTCATTAATGATATTCCTCAGCTAGAGGGTATTTATATCTTTAGTGATATTAAAATCCCACATGAACAATGGACAAAAAAATGCGACAAGACCAAAAGCATTCATACCAATGTCAGTAATCTATACCAAGCATTACAAATCGGTATCAAGCAATTCAACCAAGACTCAATAGCCATGAGTTTTATCACAGTAAAGGAAATGGTTCTAACTGATAATTTAAATCAGTTGGAGCCAAATTTTATGTATACACAGATATTCAAAGAAATTCTTTTTGATATGGAATATGATGAACAGGCTATCAAAGACTTTATTAGTTACTGTCGAGATTATGACTGCGTGTCACCAAAGTATATTGACCGTTTTCAGAAAGAATACCATGCTCAATTAGCTATTTGGTGGTATACTTTCCCATCCAATATCTATTATATGCTTAACTATGCCCTTCGAACATTGGAAGCCGATGTAATTATTACGATGGGTTTTTTTATATGTCATCTGCATCAACAGATTCAGCAATTACACAAACAACAGGCTGATAGCTATGGTAAAAAACCTTTTTTAGTTTATCGAGGACAAGGTCTTACGAAAGCAGACTTTGAAAAACTTCAAAAAACAAAAGGTGGACTTATGTCATTTAACAATTTCTTGTCTACCAGTAAAGATAAAGAAGTGTCTCTCGAATTTGCTGAGTGTGCTTCGACAAAACCGGATACAGTGGGCATTCTTTTTATTATGTTCATTGATCCTTGTATTAAATCAACACCATTTGCCTCCATCAAAGAGATGAGTTATTTTACGGAAGAAAATGAAATTCTCTTCTCAATGCACACTGTGTTTCGGGTAAATGGAATAAAACAAGTGGACAATAAGAATCAGCTTTATCAAGTTGAATTACAATTAACAGCTGATGATGATCAACAACTACGATTACTTACTGATCGGATACGAGAAGAAGCTAACGATAAAACTGAATGGTACAGATTGGGTAGCTTATTGCTTAAAATTGGTCAATTCAATAAAGCTGAAGAACTTTATAACATATTACTCGAACAAACATCTGATGACAATGAAAAAGCGCTTTGTTATGGTGGTCTGGGATACATCAAAGACGACCAGGGTGATTATGAAAAGGCTATTCGGTATTACGAACAAGGACTTGAAATTAAACAAAAAAATCTTTCTTTAAATCATCCTTCATTGGCTACTTCATATACTAACATCGGTAATGTGTATGGAAGCATGGGAGAGTACTCGAAAGCACTTTCATTTTACGAAAAAGCACTTGAAATTCGAGAAAGAACTCTTCCTTTAAATCATCCTGATTTGGCTAACTCATACAACAACATTGGTAATGTGTATGAGAGCACAGGAGAGTACTCGAAAGCACTTTCATTTTATGAAAAAGATCTGCAAATTTGCCAAAAAACTCTTCCTTTAAATCATCCTGATTTGGCTACTTCATACAACAACATCGGTAGTGTTTATGACAACATGAGAGAAAACTCGAAAGCACTTTCATTTTACGAAAAAGCACTTGAAATTCGAGAAAAAACTCTTCCTTCAAATCATCCTGATTTCGCTAACTCATATAACAACATCGGTAGTGTGTATGAGAGCACGGGAGAGTACTCGAAAGCACTTTCATTTTACGAAAGATCACTTGAAATCTTTCAAAAAACTCTTCCTTCACATCATCCTTCACTGGCTACTTCATACAACAACATCGGTTCTGTATATAAAAGCATGGGAGAGTACTCGAAAGCACTTTTATCTCACGAAAAAGCACTTGAAGTCTTTCAAAAAACTGTCCGTTCAAATCAGCCTGAGTTGGCTACATCATACAACAACATCGGTATAGTGTATTTCAATATGATAGACTATTCGAAAGCACTACCATATTTAGAACGTGCTCTGGACATATGGCAACATGCGTTACCACCAACTCATCCTCATATAAAAACTGTGAAGAACAGTATTGAAATTGTAAAAAAGGAATTATAAAGAACATTTTAGAAATAAATAAAAGAATTTTTTGTTTACTAGTTTTTTGAATTAATTACAAGTTATAGTAACTCATGTGCTCGTACAGAGAACAACCCTATAAATAATAAAAATATAATGAACAAAGCCGACTGATAAGGTAATATACATATATGCGTATGTGTATAAATGACCTTCTCAGACTTATTTACATGTCTAATTCTTTATGAGTGTTCCCTATAATAAAAGAAGAAGAGGTAAAATCGGAAACAATAAAAAAAAAGAATCACTTGCATGAAATTGAATTGTAATAGTGTCGAACGAGGCTTCATATGACGAAGAGAAAGTTAAGAAACTACGGAACATATATTGATCGATATATCTTCAAAACATGGTCTAATTCAATAGTTGAATTCAAGCTTCAAGTGTTGAATATATGGAGATATAAAAATAGGTCATTAAAATTGAATGTTTAAAAAATTGAAAGTTATCTATTTTATATAAATAACAACCGAATTTTACGATAAAATAACATTGCAAAAGTTTATTATGAAGCTTTCGGATCACGAACAATCGAGGGTTTTCAATTGTCCGATGCAGATCGAGCTCATTACTTATTCATACTTAGAACTTACAAGGAAATCTTTCCAGCTGCCCAATCTCTTTGGAGTTCGGCCTCCGTGCATAATATAGATTCCAGTGAAGTATAAAAGACCGTAAAAGGATAATTGCCCCTAGGCCTTCTGTCCAGAGTTATGGGCATTTTACTGAAATTTTAGCATATGGCATGGTATGTATAAATAAATGCAATGACGGTATTTCGACCTGAGATTTCGCCCACAGAGAGATCTATCGGGGAGTAGAATGCCCTGAAAACTTCAGCTGAAAAGAACATTTCCTTGTTAGCTATTACATAATTCTGTTGGAAAGAAAAAAATTATATGCGAGTTTTTACATAATTCTAGTGAATGATTATAGTTTTGAACGGAGTAGTTAGAATTCTCAGTTTATCATGAGAATTCTGTATATCTTGTCTTGTATATTAAAGAAATATCAAAAAAGTTCTAGAACTCTGCTGCTGGGAATTTTATCAGCCCTCTTTTAATGTGCATTATTTACAAAATAGGCATGTGTTGTTCTTGTTAGCGATGAAATTATGTCTTATCTTCAAAGAAAATTGAAAAAATAAATTCTTTTTTTTTGGTGTTCTTTGTACTCATTTGGCTCTATAATTTATATGAAATGATACAGAGGATGAAATTCTATTGTGATTTATCAAAATAAATAAAAGATAATCAATGACGTCATAAAAACATTAAGATAGAGTGATCTGATTCTCATCTAAATAATGATCTTCGTTTGTTTTCTTAAGCATTTACTAATTAGCAGTTCAACTTGTTAGGCGGTATTATCATCTATCTTCATTTCTTTCTTACGTCATATATGTATATCTTCTTTTATATATGTTCTCGTTTTCTTTCATACCATTCATGGATTTTTCCTTTCGTTCTACTATATGAATTTTTCCTCTCTTTTCGTACACATATATGTTGCTATATTGTCACGTTCTGAAGTCGAGTGTTAAATAGTATTTTATTAGATAATAAACTATTTCATACACGTCTATATATATATATGATGTAATACGCGTACACTAACGAATATTCTGAATAGAATATCCCTCGACACTAACATGGATTATTCCAATAAAGAATAATCCTAGTGAATACACGAGAACAAAGAAACATATACATGAAATATAGATAAACAACCTCAATAGAAATGAAAGAAAGACTAAAATAAAACGAACGATAATAATCTAGATCATACATCACATATATGTTATGGGATTTTTCCATTCTATATATAGCGTGTGTTTTTCTTCGAATAAACAGATATATAGAATTCTCATCTTCACAAACTACATACAATTATCAACAAATAAGTTTCATGGACCCGAAAACTTCAAAACCGAACATAAAATCGTCTCATGGAGTAAAAACGTCTTATGTTCGCCAACCACGGCAACGTATCGCTCCAAATTACTTTCTCGTTTGGATAGATGCCAGCATCGACGAAGACAAAAAGGATTGTCAAGACACACTTACTCAACTGAAGAATGTGGTCAGCGACGTCAATATATGCACAGAACCAAGTCAATGCATCCATTTGCTCAGTCAAATTAACAATGAACGAGCCTTTGTCATAACATCAGGCTCATTAGGTCAATATTTGGTTCCTGAAATTCATAGTATGCCACAGCTAGATACAATTTACATCTTCTGTGCCAACAAATCTAGACATGAAGAATGGACACAAAACTGGACAAAAATCAAAGGTGTCCATACAAATATCAAAGACATTTGTCAAGCATTACAATTAGCTGTTAAGCACTGCAACCAGGATGCAATTGCCGTAAGTTTTCTTACGATAAATGAAATGGCTTCAACTGAAAATTTAAATCAGTTGGACCCAACTTTTATGTATACCCAACTGTTCAAGGAAATTCTTCTTGATATCAAATACGGTGATAACGCAATCAAGGACTTAGCAACTTGTTGTCACGAAGTTTTTACTGGCAATCCAAATGAATTACAAATGATTAATGAATTTGAACGTGACTATGATCCACAAAAAGCAATATGGTGGTATACACGTGAGTGTTTTACCTACAAAATGCTCAATAAAGCACTTCGAATTATGGATGCCGATATAATCATTAACATGGGTTTCTTTTTACGTGATGTACATCAACAAATTCAACAGCTGTACGAGCAACAAGTCAGTAGTTATGGAAGCGAACCTTTTATAGTTTATCGAGGACAAGGTCTTATGAAATCAGACTTTGAAAAACTTCAACAAACAAAAGGTGGACTTATGTCATTTAACAATTTCCTGTCTACCAGTAAAAATAAGAAAATATCTCTCAAATTTTCTGAAGATGCTTCATCAAAAACAGATATGGTTGGCATTCTCTTTTTAATGTCCATTGATCCTTGTATTAAATCAACACCATTTGCCTCTATTACTGAACTTAGTTATTTCAAGGCACAAGAAGAAGAAATACTCTTCTCAATGCACACCGTCTTTCGAGTGAATGCAATTAAACAAATGGACAACAATAATCAACTTTATGAAGTTGAATTACAATTAACATCGGACGATGATCAACAACTACATATACTTACTGATTGGATACGAGAAGATACTGATAGTACTGGATGGAACAGATTGGGTCTCTTATTGTTTAAAATTGGTCAATTTAATAAAGCTGAAGAACTTTATACTGTATTACTCGAACAGACATCTGATGAGGGTAAAAAAGCTACTTATTATAATCAGTTGGGATATACCAAAGATCAAAAAGGTGACTATGAAAATGCTATTTGGTATCACGAACAAGCACTTGAAATTCTACAAAAAAATCTTCCTTCAAATCATCATGCTTTGGCTGATTCATACAACAACATCGGTTTGGTGTATACCAAGACAGGAGAGTACTCGAAAGCACTTTCATTTTACGAAAACGCACTGGAAATTCGACAAAAAACCTTTCCTTCAAATCATCCTGATTTGGCTGATTCATACAACAACATCGGTATGGTGTATGCCAACATGGGAGAATACTCGAAAGCACTTTCATTTTATGAGCAAGGACTTACAATTCGAGAAAAAACTCTTCCTTCAAATCATCCTGATTTGGCTACTTCGTACAATAACACCGGTGGTGTGTATGACGGGATGAAAGAGTACTCAAAAGCACTTTCATTTTACGAAAAAGCACTTGAAATTCAACAAAAAACTCTTTCTTCAAATCATCCTGACTTGGCTAACTCATACAACAACATCGGTTGTGTGCATACCAGAATGGGAAAGTACTCGAAAGCTCTTTCATTTTACGAAAACGCACTGGAAATTCGACAAAAAACCTTTCCTTCAAATCATCCTGATTTGGCTGCTTCATACAACAATATTGGTAGTGTGTATGACAAAATGGGAGAGTACTCAAAAGCACTTTCATTTTATGAAAAAGCAATTCAGATCTTTCAAAACACTCTCCCTTCAAATCATCCTTCTTTGGCAATTTCATACGGCAACATCGGTTTGGTTTATTTCAATATGAAAGACTATTCGAGAGCACTATCATATTATGAATGTGCTCTTGACATCAATCAACGTGCATTACCTCCAACTCATCCTGGTGTTAAATATGTGAAAGAGACTATTGAAGTTTTAAAAAAGATATTATAAAGAATATTTGATAAATAAATAAAAGAAGATTTTGTTCACTTATTTTTAAATTAATTCTAGTTTATAGTGACTCGCGCACATATAAAGATCAACTCATAACATATATATTTTTTCTTGAAAGATTGAACTAAATTACATGCTAAAAAAGTAAACATGGTGAAATTTCTTCTCATTCTTGATTATTAACGAAATTTAATCATACATTCATAGTTAATGCTTTCAAACTATTTCATATAAATAACATTTTGTCTTGATATACAAGATGAATATTGCCTATTAAATAATAATTTAATTACAAATTACAAGTTAAAAATAAAATGTAATTTAAAAGTTATTTTTCAAAATTACATCAGCTTCTGACATTTATATACAGAAAAAAAGATTCTTTCTATTAAATAATACGTTTTATGAGCAACAAGATTTCTTCTATTCATGATCTATTAATATATACCTTCATAGAAACATAAAATAATGTTTTATATTATTGCAGTAAAATCTCTTTTTTTCGAATTTCATTTATACTTGTTAACTTTTCCATTCTTTTGAAAATCTATAAGGTTTTTTTACGATGTAATTGAATAACACTCATTAAAACAATTATGCCATCAAACATTAGACAATTTTTTATATAAATAAAAAATATGTATAATTAAATTGTTCAAAGTACAAAATTACAATATGATCTGATTAACAAAGTGACTTATTTATAAAAATTTACAACTAACATTTCATGCTAGTTGCGATACTTCCTGTAAAGGAACTAAATGTCATATTCAAAATCGAGAAACGAACGATATTAGTACGATATTAATATATTCATATTGTTAAAAACTACTTTTCATGGTAAAAAACGGCTTATAGATAGAATATGAAACTATAATTCAAAACGACTTCATACGCTTTTAATCAACCTCATGCTGCGTTGTTATGTTATTAAGAAAATATCTATTTATGAGAATAGTGAACCTCAATAATAAAAGGTAATGTGACATCTATTAGAATGTCATTAGAGTGAGAGATCAAAAAGATCACGCTCCTCCACCTGTCTGGGTGGCAAATGTTTTGATGACAGTTAATATTTGTTTTAGTTTAAAAAAATAACTTGATAAATAAATTTGATTATTTTTTCCTGTGAAAAAGAAATGATATTATTTTTATACAAAGTATTTCTCATTAAACATTTCTTCGTTTGTCGATTTTAGTTACTTGAAAAATGAAAAAACAAAAAAGCAAGACAAATATGTAAAATACAAAAGAAAAAAGGATGAGACGAAAAGAGAAAATGAAAAATATAAAAGAAGAAGACGAAGAGAAGAACAACTACAATAATACAAATAAACAT